ATATACAATACTGTAATTATGATATACGATATATATATCATATAACCAAAAAATCAAGAGAGGTTTGCATTGCTTTGTTATAGAAAGAGTATAATTAAAAATACTTGAAAAAGAGAGAAAAAGAACCTTCTCCTTAAACAGTTTGTCATGAGAAGTAGTTCTAAGCAAAGGCAATTGCTACATCTTTTCACCAGAATGTCAGAAGCTGAATCTTGGCCTTTAAAAAAACAAACAAATTCTGTGCCTTTCAAAACATTCACACTTCTGAAAAAGCTAGCAACACTATAAACCATAAACAGAACCAATTTTGAAAGAGACTGCAGAGCATAAGCATGGCTCTACTTATCAGCTTATGGTTCAAATAATCAGCATGTTCTGATTTAAGTCAAAACAGATACACTTTTTGCTTTCTGTTTGCTATTATAAATAAAAAGCAAGTATTACAATAAATCTATAATATAAATAAACACTATTTATAGTTGCTGACTTTTTCAGAGACTTGAACATTTTGAAAAGCACAAGACTTTGCATTTGCTTCTTGTTTTTCCTTGCAAAATACAGAGCCCGTGTCTGCGTGTGGCAAGTCTACTGTGGAGTTTATTCCAGACTTTGGAGGATCTATCCAAGGTGCTGAACTTATTGGTGGATTTTATTCAGTATCTTAGATATCCCTGTTGAAGTATGAAATAAAATGCATCATGGATTTGGCACATCCTTCAAATGGAAGCCACTGGGTAGCAAGCATATTTGGTTTTTAAAAAAGCCCCTCACACAGAAAAGCAAGTTTGCTTAGGGAAAAAAATCAACTGCATTTGAATAGGGCTTGAAAAGATTTTTTTTTTAAAACCCATTAAAAACCCCATGCGTATGCATCTGGGAATCTTTTGACTTCATTACTAGTATGTAGCAATATCTGGACCTTGAGCCCCATGATCATAGAATAAAAATACAACAATCAAACAAAATGAAAAAGCCATTCTTTGGGATGTTATTGTGTAATTCTGCCCTGAGTAAGTATTCACTGAGTAGATTGTCACTATATATTTTTTCACTCACTTTGGACATCATAGGACCCATCTACACTGTAGAATTAATGCCGTTTGAATCACTTTAACTGTCATGGTTCAATGCTAAGGAATCATGGGAGCTGTAGTTTGATGAGGCATCAGCACTATTTCTGAGGAAAGACTACAGACTTTGCAAAACTGCACTCCCAGGATTCCATAGCTTCTGGCCATAGCAGTTAAAGAGGTGTCGAACTGCATTAATTCCACAGTGCAGATGCGCCTTTAATAAAAAGCAGTAAGACACCTCTTTTTATTGGTGATCTGAGAAAGCAACAATGCAATTTTATACATCACAAATGAATCTGCTGTGGTTAAATAAATACCTTTTTAAAAAGCAGCAGCATCAGCATCACAATGAAGCACATCTAAAGAAGACATCACTGATGCTATGCTAGAAATAGCTCAGCAGCTTTCCAATATGATGAATTGCTCAGAATTTGCTGTATTAAAGGGTAAGCAAGGAAAGAAAAATCTGGCAATACCTTTAAGAATAACCAATATTATAGTACAAGTTTATGTGGACTTCAATCCACTTTTTCAGATGCATTGATGGAGCTAATGTTAAAAACACAGTTCTGTGCAGTTATATGGTTGAGGGAGGGATGCAATTGGTTATAGAAAGATGCAAATTGTGACCCTGGATATAAAGCTTTAAAGGTTACTTTGAGATGATACAGGTCTGTCAAGCTAGTCTCAACGCGTGAAAGCAATAGCTCTGTTTTCCCAAGATTCTTGGTCCTGAGAGTTAGTTCCCTTGAAGTTGGAAACTTTGAAAACTGCTGAAAAATTGGCTGTATCTCTATAAGTCACTTTGCTGAAAGTTCAGTTGGAACATTTTAGTGTTTCTTATACTTTTTATAACAACTATACTGATTTGGCCAGTTAATAACATTGACACCTTTACAGATGTGGCAAGCAGCATGAATCTATCTGTTTTACTCCGATATCTCTCCCAGAGTAATAGAGTTGTATATGATTTTTTAAAGCAAAGAGCGCCATCTGTCACTAAAGAAAAAGAATGGAAAAAAAATCAGTTTACATCTTAACCTTTTGAAATGTATCTCTTATCCAAAATGCTTGGCACCACAAGCATTTTGGAAGTCAGATTTTTTTTTAATTTTTGAATATATGTATTTCCATATACGTACATAATGAGATATGGGTTGCTGTGAGTTTTCCAGGCTGTATAGTCATGTTCCCAGAAGCATTCTCTCCTGATGTTTTGCCCACATCTATGGCAGGCATTCTCAAGAGGTTGAGAGATCTGTTGGAAACTTGGTAAGTGGGGTTTATATATCTGTGGAATGTCCAGGGTGGGAGAAAGAACTCTTGTCTGCTTGAGGCAAGCATGAATGTTGCAATTGGCCACCTTGATCAGCACTGAATAGCCTTGCAGCTTCAATATCTGTGGAATAGCCCACCCTGGACATTCCACAGATATATAAACCTCACTTGTCTGGTTTCCAACAGACCTCATCACCTCTGAGGATGCCATAGATGAAGGTTAAACGTCAGGACAGAATACTTCTGGAACATGGCCATACAGCCCGGAAAACTCACAGCGACCCACTATCATTCTATTGATTGCCATAAATTGAAGGCTGCATCCAGGCTCTTTTGCTGTGAGTTTTCAGGGCTGTATGACCATGTTCCAGAAGCATTCTCTCCTGACATTTTGCCCACATCTATGGCAGGCATCCTCAGAGGTCTGTTGGAAACTAGGCAAATGGAGTTTATATATCTATGGAATGTCCAGGGTGGGAGAAATGAAAGCCATTCAATGCTAATCAAGGTGACCAACTGCAACATTCACACTTACCTCCAACAGACAAGAGTTCTTTCACCCACCCTGGACCTTCCACAGATAAATAAACCCCATTTTCCTAGTTTCCAACAAACCTCACAATCTCTGAGGATGCTTGTCTTAGATGCAGGTGAAACGTCAAGAGAGAATACTTCTGGAACATGGCCATACAGCCCAAAAAACTCACAGCAACCCACTACCATTGTATTGATTGCTACAAATTTCAGGCGGCATCCTGGCTCTTTTCATTCCCATGTTGTCCTCATAGCAACACTTTCAGACTAGATCAGTTTGAAATTGAGAAGCTGAGAAATTTTAATGGCTAAGTGGGAGCTGGAAACTGGACACAAAATCGCAGTTCAATACCTAGTCTGTAACACCCCTCTAACTTTATGTAAACTGGCCTATTCACCACAGTATTAAACTATAATGTCTTTCGCTGGGTGCGCTAGGATTTTTCTTTCATCAAACAGAAGCTTCAGTGACCGCTTTACTTCTTTCTTCTTGGATTTGCTGGAAAATATAAATGTGGTTCAGTATTGGGAAAGGCGTATGGCAGGGATGTATACTCTCACCCAACCTATTCAACTTGTATGCAGAACATATCATGCAATGTGCAGGGCTTGACCAATGCAAGGCTGGGGTTAAAACTGCTGGAAGAAACATTAACAACCTTAGCTATGCAGATGATACCACTTTGATGGTCAAAAGCGAGGAGATGAGGAGCCTTCTAATCAAGGTGAAAGAAGAAAGTGTAAAAGTTGAGTTGCAGTTAAAACATTCAAAAACCCAAGATTCTGACAACCAGACTGATTGATAACTGGCAAATAGAGGGAGAAAATGTGGAGGCAGTGACAGACTTTGTATTTCTAGGTGCAAAGAGTACTGCAGATGCAGGTTGCAGCCAGGAAATCAGAAGACATTTACTTCTTGGGAGGAGAGCAATGACCAATCTTGATAAAATAGTGAAGAGTAGAGACATCACACTGACAACGAAGATCCGCATAGTTAATGCAATGGTATTCCCCGTAGTAACCTACGGATGTGAGAGCTGGACCATAGGCAAGGCTGAGCGAAGGAAGATAGATGCTTTTGAACTGTGGTGCTGGAGGAACTGTGGTGCTTCTTGGACCGCAAGAGGATCCAACCAGTCCATACTTCAGGAAATAAAGCCCGGCTGCTCATTGGAGGGAAGGATATTAGAGGCAAAGATAAAGTATTTTGGCCATATGAGAAGACAGGAAAGCTTAGAGAAGAGAATGATGATGGGGAAAATGGAAGGAAAAAGGAAGAGGGCCCGACCAAGGGCAAGATGGATGGATGGCATCCTTGGAGTGACTGGATTGACCTTGAAGGAGCTGGGGGTGGCCACGGCCGACAGGGAACTCTGGCGTGGACTGGTCCATGAGGTCACGAAGAATCGGAACCAACTGAACAAATAAACAACAAATAAATGTAAACCAGTTTTCTATGCTTTCTGAACCCCTTCTTCCCTGTATCCCCTACCCTTTGAAGCTTTGGGTGCTATCTAAACTGCAGAATTAATGCAGTTTGGCATCACTTTGATTGCCTGGCTCAGTGCTAGGGAGTCCTGGGATTTGTAGTTTGTCAAGGCACCAACACTTTTTGGCAGAGAAGGCCAGAGAGTTCCAGGAGCCTTTCTATAGCAATGCTACCCATTGGGGCATATGTCTTCATTTCTCTATCAGTTCTTATATCTCTTTTGTCTCTTCATTATTTTATATCTTAAAAATCTGTAATTTTTCAAAATCGTGACTGCAACTCCCATCATCCCTTCCTCACTTGCTCGGCTCAGCTTTTATTTATTTCGTATCAAAAGCAGTGCATAAATTAGTATAAAACTGATAAAAATAGAAGGAGCGTAGGTGGCTAAATATCTTTTGACCAAAAACGGGCAACAGCAATGGCATTGTCTGTAGCCTCCAACAACTCTTCTTCTGTACATGGGGCAGGGCATAGTGGACAAGTATACAGATGCAGAGTTTGTTTTGAATGGTCCAGCTTTGAATGGCCTTCTATTTGCAAAGGGGAGGGGGATGCAAGGAGGGAGGAGGGGCGGTGCAAAAGGTGACGTCAGAACGACAGAGCCAATGAGGAGCTGGAGAGCGCAGAGACCCGGATGCTTGGCTCTTTCTCTTCCTCCTGTGTTGGCTGCTTTCGCCTCGGTAGTCATGGGGAGCTTGCTGCAGTTTCTGAGGCTGGTGGGGCAGCTGAAGGTGAGCAGCCGAGGACGCTTTGCTTAAGGAGCAGAAATGGGGGGATTGGGGAATGGTTACGGCTGGACATCATTGGCTTCCAATGGGAGGTATCCACAAGTTCCCCCTCCTCATTTCAGAATGGTCTTTCCCAGTTGTATTCCCTGATAGTTAGGCTGGAGTGCGATTCCACTCAAGGCTCTAAGGGGGCGCTGTGTTGCAAGGCTGCGAGAATTAACTACTGCTTCAGTAGGTGTTTTGGACTTCAGCTCCCAGAAGCCTCAGCTGCTTCGGCCAATGCGTAGGGATTCTGGGAGCGGTAGTCCGGAAACCATCCCTAGAAGGCCAGTGTACAGCAGTAGTTCCTAACCAGTTGCTTGGGACTTCAACACCCAGAAGCCCCAGCCAGGATGGCCAACTGTCAGGAATTCTGAGAATTGAACTCTTAATATGAAATGCATGAAAGCAGAATTGAATTCAGATTGTTATTACTATTTGAAACACGACAAGATTAGTACACAGCAAATAAGATCATTATGCTGGCTTTTGTATTCAGTCACACTTCCCAAGTGTCTAGGACTGTAATGTATCAGCAAATAATGTGTGTAGATACCAGTAGGGTGACCGTTTGCCGCTTACAGATGATGATTTTGTCAGCGCCGATTGTGTTTAAGTGCAGGCCAAGGTCTTTCGGCACTGCACCCAGTGTGCCAATCACCACTGGGACCACCTTTTCTGGCTCATGCCAGAGTCTTTGCAGTTCAATCTTTAAATCTTCATATTGTGTCAGCTTTTCCATTATTATTATTATTATTATTATTATTATTATTATTATTTGAAACACAACAAGATGAGTCCACAGCAGACACTCTGCTGGCTGTTGTATTGGATCACACGTCGGACACTTCCCAAGTGTGTCAGCGAATAATGCTTGCAGATCCCAGTATGGTGGCCTTCTGCAGCTGGTAGATGGTAATTTTGTCAGCACCGATTGTGTTTTAGTGCAGGCCAAGGTCTTTAGGTACTGCACACAGAATGCTAATCACTACTGGGACCACCTTTACTGGCTTCTGCCAGAGTATTTGCAGTTTGATCTTTAAATACTCATATCATGTCATCTTTTCCAGTTGTTGCTCTTCAATCCTGCTGTACCTGGGATTGCAACATCGACAATCCATACTTTGTTTTTTAACACGATAGTGAGATCAGGAGTATTGTGCTCCAAAACTCTGTCAGTGAAGTCCCAGAGTAGTTTTATTGGGTTGCTGTGAGTTTTCCTCCAAGATACCATATTGTGTACATATGTGGAAATACAGGTGTTCCAGAATAATACTGGAAATAATAATGTGTTGTTGAAGGCTTTCATGGCAGGAATCAATGAGTTGCTGTGAGTTTTCTGGGATGTATGGCTATGTTCCCAGAAGCATTCTCTCCTGATGTTTCGCCCACATCTATGGCAGGCATTCTCAAGAAGTTGAGAGGTCTGTTGGAAACTTGGCAAGCGGGGTTTATCTATCTGTGTAATGTCCAGGGTGGGAGAAAGAACTCTTGTCTGCTTGAGGCAAGTATGGATGTTGCAATTGGCCAGCTTGATTAGCAATGATTAGCCTTGCAGCTTCAAAGCTTGGTTGCTTCCTGCTTAGGGGAATCCTTTGTTGGAAGGTGTTAGCAGGCCCTGATTGTTTCCTGTCTAGAATTCCCCAACATACCTCACAACCTCTGAAGCTCTGGTTTGGTATTAAAGGCTTTTTTCTTTAAAAGCCTGCTTGAATAAACTGGTTGTAGCCATTCCAAACTCCAGATAAGGGATACTCAACTTGTATAGCGAGACAAAGATGTGGGATGGAAAGATCGTGGTGGTGGTGACTTAATGATTTATTAACATTACCCATTTTTGGAACCAGAAAGTAACTCAAGATTATATGTGCGAGTATCTTCATGGAGATCTGACAGCTAAATCAGCTGCTGGAATTTAAGAAGCAACTGAAGACCCATCTCTTCTGTCAGGCCTATCCAGTCAGTTTTAAGTTGTGAATTCACAATCTGCCTTTCATTAGTGGAGTTTAACTTGTGCTTTCACTCGTTTTAACAATGTTGTACCCTGCCTTGAGTCACGAGGAGAAGCGGGTAATACATTTATTATTATTATTATTATTATTATTATTATTATTATTATTATTATTATTATTATTATTATTGGAGTGCTGTGTGGTTTCCTAGCTGTATGGCCATGTTCTAGCAGCATTTTCTCCTGATGTGTGACTGGCATCTTCAGATTATTCAGATTATTATTATGTTATGTGTATGAAAGTATATATATTGCAAAGACTTTTTTTGAATACTGTTGCTTGCATTTTCTTTTACTAGCGAGTACCCCGAACAGGTTGGGTCTACAGAAATGTACCAAATCCAGAAAGTGTGTCTGATCATATGTACAGGATGGCAATCATGGCTATGGTCACTGAAGATAAAACACTGAATAAAGACAGGTAAGTGTCTTGAGAATTGTGGTGGTCTGCCTATGTGACATTTCTGATCAACAGTGAACCTGTTGCAGGGTTTTCTTGGCAACCTTTGTTCATAAGGGGCTTACTGTTGCCTTCCTCTGAAGCTGAGAGGGTGTGACTATCCCCAGATCACCTAATGGGTTTCATGGAATTTGAGCTCTGGTTTCTCCAGAGTTGTAGTTCAATGCTCAAACCACTACACCACACTGTCTCCCATTGTGAATAGTAGTAGTTTTGATATCTGATGCTGTGCAAAATGGCTTTCGGTGGCACTCAACTTCTTTACAGCATTAACAGTGGAGCCCTAATTGAAATATACATTGGTAGCAAGATACTAAGATTAGTCCCAAGCATTCCTGGTTGCCCAAATGCTCTGTTGTTTCTTAATTATTTGCCATGATTGAAATGGTTTTTCTTGAAAAAGTAGAACTGGAATATTTCCTAGAAATTTTCCCAGTGTTCCCAATAATGTTACCTGACATGACATGTTATGTTTAGTTTAAATATTATATTCAAACATATTCAACAACTGTGTTGAAATCATTGGAATATCTGTAGTAACATAAGGGGAATATCACATAGTTTCTATCCCATGAAAGCTTGGCATTTGTAGTTTGTTGGAGGGACTTTCCTTTCCCTCAACTACTGCACAAGGGCTCTCTAGCAGAAATTTCCCATAAAACTACAAACCCCTGCTTTCTATAGGATGGAATATAGACAGTTGAAGTGATATCAAAATGATATAATAGTGTGATATGGATACATTCGGACTCACCCTCTGTGCTATTTATTAGGCACATTTTAAGTTGTGAAAAAATGATTCAGTACAACTAGTTGGCCATTTTTTTTCACAATAGATTTAAATCTGTGGACAGAGGCAAGTATACTTTTGACTAATTGAGAAACAAGAGGTTTTATGAAAGAGGAAAAAAAACTCTCAGGGGTGCATTCATTTGTTAGTCTGTTCTTCTGTGCATTGCATTTTGTAAATACTTCTCTTCTTAGAGAAATAACTAGAAATTTGCATATATATCCCAGATAAAAATGTTTTTACAAGTAATAATATGATACATATATGTACCATATGAAAAAGAGCCCAAGAGCAAATCAGGCTGAAACATTCTCAAAGCCAAGACATACCATGAAAAGTTATGACATAGAACAGGCAATGATGTAGAGGAAAACTGCATTACACGTTGATAGAGTCAATCAAGGAAGCACACTTTTAAGTTTGGAAGACCTGAGTAGAGCATTTGAGAGTAACTTGGAGATCTCTCATTCATAAGGTTGCCATAAGTTGAAGTAGCTAGATGGGAATTAACAATAGCAATTGTGATTTGACTTAATTTTTTTCCACCTTATTATTGGTTTGAATCTGAAACGTATATGTGTGTTGTATGGGAGAGAACTTGCTTTCTCATATCTGTTAAGGCAGACACATTACTTTACCCAGAACATTTTTACTGTTCTTTTCAACCTGACAGGGTCTCTACAATGGCTTATGTGTAATCTTGTTCTACAATCTAAACATAACTCGGTTGAATGGACCGAAACACCCATCCCTTGTCTTTTCCTGAAATTGGTTTACATGTAAAACACGCAGGCAAGTCTCTAAAGCATTTTGTTTTATTTCCAGATGCATACGGTTAGCTCTAGTTCATGATATGGCTGAATGCATAGTTGGGGACATTGCACCAGCTGACAATATTTCCAAAGAGGAGAAGCACAGACGAGAAGAGGTGAGTATCACTGCACTTGTGCCAGGATAGTTGTCTGTAAATTCTGGAGGATCTTAAAAAGTATTACTGTAATGGACTGAAAAGTAATTAGATTATCCAAAGTTAATATTTATTATTGTACTGGCTTGGGTACCCAGAGTTGCCCAAGTTATTAGAAGAAGTCTTTTTTTTTAATTTTACAAAATGTACAAGGTTGTGGGTGTACTACAACTTACATCATGCCTGGTTAGCTCCCTGAAACTCCATCAGTACTTAAAGTTTGTCATGCTGGACAAGTCTGCTAATTAATGGTGGGGTTCAGTGTGCTCTCCAGCTGACAGATGAATTACAACTCCCACCATCGTGGGTCAGTCCCGTCAGATCCCTCCAGTACGTTCAAGTTGGTCATGAGGGTTCTGTGTGCCAAGTTAGATCCAGGTCCATCATAGTGCTCTTTGATTATAGGTGAACTGTAAATCACAGTATCTACAACTAACAAATGTCAAGGACAATTCCCCCCAAAACCCACCAGTATCCAAATTTGGTCGTATCGGATATGCATGCCAGATTTTGTCCAAATCCTTTGTTATTTGCATTAATAGTGCTCTATGGATTTTTTGAACTATAATTCCTATAAATCAAGGTAAACTTTCCCCAAAGCCTTCCTGTATTTTTTTTGTCATGGAGGTTCTGTGTGCCAAGTTAGGTCCAGGGCCATCATTGGTGGGGCCTCTATCCTGATTTTTTTTTTGACTGCAGGTAAACTATAAATCTCAGTACCTACAATGGCTGTAAAGGAAGGTGAATTCCTCCAAACCTCTCCAATATTTTTCTTTGATCATGGGGGTTCTGTGTGCCAGTGTTTGGGGAGGACATTGGCAGGGGTTGGGCTACATGTTCATAGGGCTTCCTATAACCTGAAATTTCATTGGAGGGAAGGCTTTTGGTGGCTCCTCAGCACTGTGGGTTAAAGCTGTTTGTGGAAGCGGGAGCCTGTCTGTGAAAGTGAGCACCCCAGTAGCATACACACATATGTATACACATATACACATATTTTCACTTTTATTATATCTATGTCTATAGATATTTGCACTATGTGTATGTGCTTTCAAGTTGCCAGTGGGTAACTCCATGAATTTCATAGGATTTTCTTATACAGAATACTCACAAGTGGTTTGCCATTGCCTTCCTTTGAAACCGAGCTTTCAGCACCCTCATGATATTCCCTTGCAGTCCACTCTTTCAAATACTAACCAGACCTGACTCTGCTTATCTGCTGAGATCAGATGGGATCTGGTGCTCTCAAGAGCATTTGGGGTATTATACAAAGTTAATGTTTAGTATTGTACACTGACCACCAGAGGTCACAGTCTTGTCTCTGTTAAAGGGAAAGTAGTCTGGTATACAGAATTCTGTATAATACTTCTTTCTAGGATGAAACTGAAGTATAGATACAAACGTGTTGTTCCTCAGATACTATAGTCTTTTAATAGGTTGTTTTTGATACAACTACATGCCAGCCCATGAAAACTGATCTGTGTATTGTGTTAACCATGACATGTCCAAGGAAACTTTGGGTGCATCTACACTGTCGAATGAATGCAGTTTGACACATTCTACCTGCTGTGGCTCAGTGTTATGAAATCATTGGAACTGTAGTTTTACAAGGTTTTCAGGCTTCTCTGTGAAAGGATGCTGGTGCTGCACTAAACTACAAATCCCAGAATTCCATAGCATTGAGCCATGCAAATACAGTAAGGTCAAACTGCATTCATTCGATAGTATAGATCAGTGGCTCTCAACCTGACTGCAGCGCAGCTGTCTGAGTGTCAGCTGCATTAAGATCACTTCTGACCAAAAGGTCATGACTTCGAAGCCAGCCCGGGTCGGAGTGAGCTTCCGACGAATTATGTAGCTTGTTGTTGACCTTTGCAACCCGAAAGACAGTTGCATCTGTCAAGTAGGAAAATTAGGTACCACCTATGTGTGAGGAGGCTAATTTAACTAATTTACGAGGCCATAAAAAAGACTCCAGCAAAGCACTCCAGCAAAAGCACGCGGGGAATGCGGAAGTACTTCATCAGTGTCGCAGATGGATGATGAAAGCGGCAGCTCCCCTGGCGGCCAGAAAAGTTACATAGCCTCTGACTGTCTGTCTATATCTGTTGTGTATCTTTGACATTGAATGTTTGCCATATATGTGTACGTTGTAATCCGCCTTGAGTCCCCTGTGGAGTGAGAAGGGTGGAATATAAATACTGTAAATAATAATAATAATTATTATTATTAATTATAATAATAATTAATAATAATAATGGAAATTTGGACGACGGATTGGATCACGACTCCAGTTATGAGATGTATTGTGTTGTCTATGGTTGTGTCAATATTGTATATTATGCTTTTATGGTTTTAAATTGTATATCGTTGATTGTTTTTTATCCTTGTTGTAAACCGCGTTTAGTTGCCTGTTGGGCTGAGAAATTGTGGTATACAAGTAAATAAATAAATAAATAAATAAATAAATAATAATAATAATAATAACCTGTGGATCCCCAGGTGTCTTGGCCTACAACTTTCAGAAATCTCAGCCAGTTTACCAGCTATTAGGATTTTTTCTGGGAGTTGAAGGCCAAAACATGTGGGGACCCACAGGTTGGGAACCACTGGTATAGATGGACTCTTTGTCATATGAAGATGTTTTCATGGAGGGGGAAGCACAAGCTGATCTCCTCATGTGTCTTTTCATATCGTTCCTCATCCACTCTCTCTGCTTTCAGATAAATTATATAGTAGTCTAAAATATTTGTGATCCAGAGAGTTCCTTTGTACTTGTTAGCATTCTTGTGCAATTTTTCAAAGCCAATTTGGCCTATCCTTAAACATTCTTAATGTCAAAATGCTTCAGAGAAACTGAAATTTTGAATGTGGCTAATGGGAAATAAAATGCCTACTTTTTTTTTCTTTAGGAAGCTATGAAACATTTGACTCAGTTGCTTTCAGAAGAGCAGAGAAAAGAAATTTTTGAACTGTGGGAAGTAAGTTTTCAAACATTGACACTTATTTACATAGTTACATATTTCCAGCTATAAAGAGAGATGGATATTTAATTATTATAGAAATCAGTGGTTATAATGACTGGTGCTGAAAGCTAGTGGATTTCAGAAAGGACGAAGTGAAGCTGATGGTGAAATGCAGGCCATCAATTTGAATGCAGCCAGCTGTTGGGGCCACCAAGGTCCACAAAGCTCTGATCTCTTGCCCTTATGCTACATATTGCAATGCAATTGCAAACCATGGTGTGTAGCTAGCTGGTGAACTACGTTGGATTAGATAGGCCACAACTAATGGTTTGAACTATGAGCCACCTGGGAGAAAGGCATTTTCTAGTGCTACTGAAGTGGCCTCTATCCTGATTTTATCCAACAGGTTCGTAAGAGCCACTTAAACCTGAAAATACTTTGTTTGGTTTTTAATTAGTTTTAAGGAGTTTTAGAGGTTTATTTTTTAATACTGTTCATGTTTAATTTTATTTTAATGTTTAGGTTTTAATTGCATTTAATAGCTTTGAGTATTTTTTTGAGAGAGAAAAAGAGGGATATACATGATATAATAATAAAAAAACATGTATGGATTGTCGATGTTGCAGTCCCAGGTGACAGCAGGATTGAAGAGAAACAACTGGAAAAGCCGACATGATATGAGGATTTAAAGATCGAACTGCAAAGACTCTGGCACAAGCCAGTAAAAGTGGTCCCAGTGGTGATCGGCCTGCACTTAAACACAATCAGCACTGACAAAATTACCATCTGCCAGCTGCAGAAGGCCACCTTACTGGGATCTGCACAGATTATTCACTGGTACATCACACAGTCCTAGACACTTGGAAAGTGTCCGATGTGTGATCCAATACAACAACCAGCAGAGTGATCTTGTCTGCTGTGGACGCATCTTGTTGAGTTTCAAATAATAATAATAATAATAATATCAAAATCACACAGTCCTAGATGCTTAGGAAGTGTTCGACTTGTGATTTTGTAATACGAAATCCAGCATATATATCTCGTTTGCTGTGACATACTGTTTTTATGTCAGTAAAATAATAATAGTAATAATAAGGTATAGTGATTTTTGCTGATCTTTGTAAGAATATGAATAAATGTTTGGTGAAGTATTCCATTAAGTATTGTTGGTCAACAGGGCAGGGATGAATTTAATTTCCAATCTTTGAAGGAAAGGTACTCATTTTAATGTTCTTTCATTGACTCAGCTTTTCAAACCCTTTTTAAGGAGATTTTTGGATGTCTGATTTGAAGAGTCTTAAACTGTTTATCAGTTTGATTTGTAAACCATTTTGAAGGATTAACTTTAAAAGAGGCATTAGTTATTTTGTGTTGTAGAAGATATAATATTCTTATTGTCTTTGTTGCTGTAAGAATGCCACAGGGCTCTCTTAGCTTGAGTCAAATGTGTGTAAGAAAAAAATTCATTGTTGAATTATGGCTTCTAGTATATTGCAGTCACGATCTGTTTTCTCTCTTTCTACTATATGAAGTATCTGAACAAAGCTGAGACCTGTTAACACTGGCTTTCACGCAGCAAGATTGTAATGAAGCTAACATAAAGAGCATAGAAGTAAATGAATGTTGACTCTCTTCATTCCCTATTATTTTCTTCTTCATAGGAAACTGGCAGGAGGTCTAGGTGTGCCATAGAAACCTCCTTTTATTTCTACAGCTTTTAGCTGGCTTTGTGGCACATTTGGGAGACAACCTGAAACTCCTGCTTCCACCCACTGAGAATTTAGCACTTTTCCTTTTATCTTTCTCAGTACAAATCCATTCCAGGAAGCATAGCTGGTCACGTTGGGTTTATTTATGCCTAAGGTAATACTGAGCTGTATGTTAAGGCTGCTCTTAATCTCTGGCCCTTTAGACTGTTGAGATGTACTCAAGTCTGAAGAAAAAGCCAGTGTATTTGTCACTCTTCATCTAAGAAGCACACTGAACTGTATCTGAAATGTCTTTGACTGTTTCAGATTGAGATGCTGAGGTGTAGTGGCGTGGTATTCACTTTTGCAAACAGGCCAAAGTGATGTAGCAAGGCAGAGACAACTCTGCTTGCTTTCCTATCTATCTATCCACCCATCCATCCATCCATCCATCTAGTATCTATCTATGGTATTTGTATCCTGCTTTCTCTCTCAAGGAGACTCAAAACAGCTAACAATTAAAATTGCACAATAAAGTGTATAAAATTAGAATAGAATTTTATTTGTAGGCTAAGCTTGGGTTTTACAATGTACTCTCCCCTTGAACTGTGCTGCCTAAGGATGGAGAGAAGTTGTATAAAGCCCTGTTCATGTTCTGGTCTTGGGATGGCACCCTAAAAATAAAGCTTTGTGTTGCGCAGCTTGTTTATCTGAACCACACTTCAAACCAACAAACCATTTGTCACTAGGTTCATGGATACACCTATATGCAAGTCTGTATTGGTTTCAGACTAATCTGTCTGTGTTATTTGTATATTGTCTGTCTCCCACAGTATGATTCAAGATAATAAATAATAAAACAATAAATAATAAAACTAAGCTAAAATTCAGCAGTGGATTTAGAATGACTGCATTCTAAATTCACTGCTGAATTTTAGCTTAGTTTGCCATTTAATTTTTGTAATGCATAGCTAAAACGGTATACAGTAAGTAGCCTATTGGCATCCACTATGGTTTGGTTCCGGGACCCACTGTTGATACCAAAATCTGAGAATAATCAAGTTCCATTATCTACAGTGGCATGGTAAAATGATGTCCCTTATATAAAATAACAAAATCAATGTTTACTTTTTGGATTATTGTTTGGAAATTTTTCAGACCATGGATGGTTGAATCCAAAACTATAGAATCCACAACGAAATCATTGAATGTATAAAAGTTAAAACCAGAATACTCACCCAACCCCATAAGGTTCCCTGTGAGCCATTGGTCACTACAATCCTGCTTGAATAAGAAGAAGGGCTTTGTCTGCTGGCAAAGAGAACAGGAAGGGGACCAGTTTATCTTCCCGTGATTCCCATAGGATATGAGCAGCTAGTGATTGAAGAGGTATTCTCTGTGTCCTCACCAAAGGAATTTGTGACATTGGTGGGACTGAGAAGAAGCTTTCCCCTGAGGATATCAAGACTCTGCCAGGTTCATATAGGGAGATAAGTTCGTGTCTTTCTCGAAAAAATCTTGGAAATCGTTGAAAAGGTTGGAAATTATATTGACTTGTCTGGGTGCTTTCTGCTTCAACCACTAGTGAGTCACTTAGTTTGAAGATATTTCTGAACAGCATTAAAACAGCATTATTTATGCACAATTAGATGAAACATGGTGCATAAAAATGCCCTTCACATTTGCCAAGTTTAACTTTCATAGACTTGATAATATGGTGTCTCTAGGAAGCTTTAGGGGCTCTAGTGTAACTGTATGTCCAGCCTGTGTTGGAAGATGACCATAGATTTCCACTGGAAAACCTAGAGATTCCTAGAGAGATGTTCTCTGCAGGAGACTCTAGGTCCACCAGCACAAATCTATAGTAAAGTATAGACCATTCTGGCAGCTGAACATAGAGCTGTGCTGAGGGATTTAAAAGACTCATAGAGAGAACATCTTGAAGAATCTCTAGAGGTTTTCTCTAGGGCAGGGGAACACACACTACATATTTTAAAATTTCTGGTTTTCCCACTTTCACTGTGGCCCTGTGTTCCAAACACAGCAAATGTGGAAAACAGACGATTCTTGTCAAGGGCTTTAGGAGAATTTCAGTTATTTCTGATTGGAAGGTTCTTTGAATGAGAATCAAAAACACCAATGCATCATAAATATAAGGTTTATACAGTATCAAAAAGACATCCCTGGGAGGCTGCTAATGCTCTCTTTGAGTGGAAAATACTTTGTCAGAATAGATGCTAGTATGCTTTTGTAGAGATCAAGAATACTTAAAAGTTGAGGTGGGCAATCTATATGCTTGAGAGCAATGTAATCAGAAAAAGGTGTTTGGCCAGCATCTAACCAGCAGAGAAATAGTTCTGAAGGAGTGCAGTGTGATGTATTTGAATACTAAAGTATTATGGAAAGAGAAGTGGCTCACTTGTGCTTTGGAGAGCAAAGAGGAAATTGCTTCAACTCATGGTGAGCATATAAGGCCAGTTCACAAGTACAATGTGCTTGAATATGAACAGATGCCATTAGCAAAGCCAGGTTGTGCAGGTGCAGTGTCTGTAACCTTCGCCACTCAATGAACATGGTTTGACAGATTAAATATTGTGTACCTTTAGGAATATGAACATCAATGTAGTGCAGAAGCAAGGTTTGTAAAACAGCTGGATCAGTGCGAGATGATACTTCAAGCCTTAGAATATGAAGACTTAGAGCAAAGACCTGGGACCCTTCAAGATTTTTATGACTCTACTGCAGGTATGACCTTGTTTTTTTTCTAAACACTCACATGTGAAGCTTGGCATTATAGTACATGGGACTTGCTGCAAAATGTTTCGGCATGCTGTACTCCTATTCCTGTTTGGTGTGCCCCCATGATAGCTACACATTCTTCACCATTTGCAGTTCCATCACTCTCCTCCAGCACATTCTCCATTCTGTGCCACTGAGCATGCCCAGTTGCCATTGAAGTGTTGCACACATTTTCAGTCTAGTAATGTTCCTCCCTCGTTTAATTTATTTTGGTGGCCAGTATCATTCATTCTAGAAGTTTGACCAATCATAGATCAATCAGAGTTTGTTCCAACTGCTGGTTGTATCAAGTGACATATGTCTCCTAGTGCGGGATATTGACCTATTTTAGAAGGAAGCAAATCCTGTCACAGAAAAGCAACCTTGGTACGTAAAATAATTTTCCTTCCTCAAGATATTTTAAAGCTTACCTGGAAGATCTGTTCGGCTTTTGCTTTTGGGCATCTCAGGATGGGTTGCTGGTGCACTTATGGGTTCTGCAGTTAAAAGCGTTGTTTAGCTTTATCTAGTGTTTTATATTTGAAAGTCACAAGATCACCAAACGGTTAGTTCCAGTTTTCCTTATCCAAATTGTTTGGGACCAGAAGTGCATTGGATTTTGGAAAAATTGTATTTGCAATTACGTACAAGAGATATCTTTAAGATATCTGGGATCCAAGTCTAAACACAACATTTGTTTGTGTTTCATGTACACCTTATGCACATATCCTGAAAGTAGTTGTATATACAGTATTTTTAATATTTTTTGTACAATATAGGACAGAAAATTTGTGTACATAAAACTCTCAGAAACCAAAGTGTCACTATCTCAGCTAGCCATGTATTATTTCAGACTTATTAATTTGGATAAGGGATGCTCAAAACTGTAATGATCTCATGACCCTTTAGTTATTTGTTATCGCCAGTTATCAGGAGGGGAGATACCCAATTTATGAAGCCTCTAGACTTGTGGTTATTCACAAGTTTCATACAAGTTGTTCACACCTTAAACTAATTGTGTCTCTGTTGATTATTAGTGCCATCTCCCTTTTTTCTAAACCTGTTAGCATGTTCCTTTTTCAATCTCCTTTTAGCCTAATCACTCTGGCTTTATTTAAGCCAAGGGTAAGTAAGCTCCGAAGGCCAATTTTCAGCTTTTAAGATCTTCCACAGGCCATACCAGATCTTAAAAAACCAAAAGTGAATGGAAGTCCCAGTTTTGTAAAGTCTTTGGAGGCATGGGAGGAAAATGAGGCAGACTCTCCAGGGCTTGCAGGAGCAGATAGTGGCACTGTTTGACAGAATTTGGTTTTAAGGGGAGCATAGGGCTGGAACAAATGGGTCTGGTGGACTGCCAGATTATTCCTTTCTTATATATTTTGCTAATTGCAAACATGATTCTTGATTGACACAGCATGATCAATTGTCCACGTACTTGCGTACAAAGTGTGCACAGCACCTCTCAATTTTGGCCATATAATTTAAGGTCCACACTGTCAGATTTCTCCATACATCTGAGAACTGTTTTGTAAATAAGGCTGTGAAACCATAGGGAACAGCCAGCAACCTCTTTCTGTGACAGCAGGTGCACATTTTCCATTGTTTTGTTTGACTTTGTTGTACAGTTAATGTACGAGTGGAGGAACATATGAAAAGTGCTGTGATTTCCTGCCTTTTCCTGAGCTGGATTGAAAGCTCTGATATATTTTTGATTAAGGTGTTTGATTCTTTGAAAATACTTCTTTAAGGTGGAAGGTATGCAAAAAATACAAAGAGCTATTTTGATCAGCTAACCTATTTCCATGTATGCCATTGGGTTTTGAATTGGGTTATTATACATACAAATTTTGATACTCCCTTAATTTTAAAAAAGCTCATGTCAATAGTTTTCTTGGTTCTGCAGAACTTCTTGCCATTGTTCATGATAGAATCAGAGTTGGAAGAGACCTCGTGGGCCACCCAGTCCAACCCCCTGCCAAGCAGGAAAATTGCATTCAAAGCACCCCTGACAGATGGCCATCCCGCCTCTGTTTAAAAACCTCCAAAGAAGGAGACTCCACCACAGTCCAGGGCAGAGAATTCCACTGCTGAACAGCTTTCACAGTTAGGAAGTTTTTCCTCATGTTCAGGTGGAATCTCCTTTCCTGTAGTTTGAAGCCACTGTTCCGCGTCCTAGTCAGCAGGAAACAAGCCTCCTCCCTGTTACTTCCCTTCACATATGGCCATCATGTCTCCTCTCAGCCTTTTCTTCTGCAGATTGCTCACCTCATAAATATATCCAACATTAAAATTTACCATTTTTTCTCATCTTAACATCTTAATTCTATGTCCAAAACCTGTGCCATGGCAGTTAAAAAGCAAGCGAGGCTTTCATTTAGCAGCCCATTCTGATTGCCAATAGGTTGAATTTGTTAGGATAGCAGTAGGGCAACCAGGTTTGGGGTCACAGCTCTCATGTCAATGTAGAGATGTTTTCTGAAATATTGAGAAGGCACCTTCCCGCCTTTCAAACCTATGTGCTTATATGATATTCCACTGTATTTTGTAAAATGAGCTGAAAGGTTCAAGGAATAGACAAAGTATGTGTTCCTGAAATTTATTTTCCACACGTTATTATACATGTAGTTTAGTGAGAAATGCTTTGAAAACATTTCTAGTATAAGTGAGCAGCAAGTCAGTACAGAATATAAGGTCACCCATCACACGAATGGGGATTTTGTATAAATAAATATGCTTATCAGTATCATTGCCATTCTTGCATACAGGATAAGAAAACAAAGTAACTAACTGTGATCTTTGATCTGCAGGAAAATTTAGTCACCCAGAAATAGTCCAGCTTGTGTCTTCCATAAATACAGAAAGAAATACAAAAATAGCAGCATCAAAAAATGATCCACCATCATGAGTCACCTTTGAAATGTTTAGCACTATGTAAAATAAATTATTTTACAATCCTTGTATTTGTGTGATTGTTTTTTTATGATGCCATGTACCTGGAGACTGGTTAACAAAATCTAAATACTATACGTATAGCTAAGGCCATCACATATTTTTTTATATCAACTTCAGAGCATGACAGGATATTCAGTGTTTTTTAATAAATTGGTTGATATTTAAAGCTGATTTTTAAAGAGCATGGCTGTATAACTTTGTAGGTGCCACTGGCTCCTCAGTCAAACATAGAAGTAAATATGTGAATTGACTGCTATGTTTCCTTCTGGCTTTTATGAAAAGAATGTGGCACAAGAAGGTACTTTACATCCAGGCCACAAAGTTGTATGTTGTATATGAAGTGCTGCCTTGTTGAACCTATGATATGATAATGTGGAAGCTTAAATTCTGATGTATCAGTGGCCACTATTTCAATAAAACATCAGTTGCACATGTCCCTTCAAGGCAACTATTGACTTATGGCAATCCCATTTATTTTATAAGGCTTTTTTCCAGCAAGGAATACTCAGGTGGTTTTGCCAAATCCTCTGAAATAAAGCTTACAGCATTTGTAAGGGTAATTGAATAAATCCATGCTATCTAGCTTAACATAATACAAACCCAGCAAATATCAAAAGATTTGGAAAAGCAAGACAAAGGTCCTCTACTCATTATCAGGATTCAAAGAGCTGAGAATTCATGAGATACTGTTGAATTTAATGTAACATTCTCATTTTTGGGTCCTCGTGTTTTGCCTCATTCTTCTGGTTTTTTTTATGGAGACAGTGTGATTACGGATCTTACAAACAGTCTCTCCCACTGAATTGTAGTTTTATTTAAATAGTGTGACTCAAAATGGAATTAAAAATTAAATTTGAAGGTAAGTGGATTGATTTGTTCGGGACTTGGCTGAACATATGTCTGGAAAATTTGTATGATAGTTTGAACTCGTCCCACCACATGTATTGTTGATAGAAGCATATACACACATATAATCAACTGACACCAAATAGGCAAGTATAGGCCAGCTTTAGCACAGCAGGTTAATCACCAGCTGCTGCTACAGTAGATCTTGCCAACTGAAAGGTTGACAGTTCCAGCCGTGTCAGGGTGAGTTCCTGACATTCAGCCCAGCTCCCCGCCCACCTAGCGGATCGAAAACAGCAATGTGAGCAGATGAATAGGAACTGCATTAAGCGGGGAAGTATTTTAGGCACGGCATTTGAAGAAAAGTTTACGAACAAAGAAAGCTCTCAGCAAGGAGATAGAGCAACAACACCCCCTGTGACTGGAACTGAGCATGGCCTACAAAAGATGTTGAATGATGAGAAAAGGCCTATACATACCTGTATCTGTTGTCTGTCTGTAATCGGCAGTGAATGTTTGCTGTATATGTATTCTGTGATCCACGCTCAGTCCCCTTCGGGGTGAGAAGGGCGGAATATAATTACTGCAAATAAATATATATCTGATCCAAGGCTGCTTATAGAAAAATATTGCCGGTGTGTCTGGTCCCAAAACAGAAGTAGTTACCTCAGCTACATTGGTAGCAATGTGTACAGAATGCAAATGAGTAAGCAGCAACCTTGTGGAAGTAGCCTGCAATGATGCCATGCACTCTCTCAACTACAAATTAACAGGGATATGTAATAGATAAAGCCTGATTATGTATCTTACATTGTACAAATTAGATATTTTACTGTTTTGGACCAGTAGTACTCTTAGACCACTATTAACAGGTTTGCCAAGTTGTGAGTATTAAGAGGCATGATGGAGGATGGCACCCCATTTGGTAATTATAAGACTCAATATGACATTTGTTGATGGAGCAGCTTGGCCAGAGTGTTTAAGAGTGCTATTTTGTTTTAAGAAATCTGGACATTCCATTGTATACCTTTCAGTGCTGAAAAAAAGCCCAAAACTGACACTTCCAGAGAGAAAATGCAAATAGTTTATTAGTCCAAGTGTTTTTGTTGTGCCTCAAAACAATTATTAAGCAAACCATTCATCAAGTCAAAGAGAGGCTGTAGATTGTAGACTGATGCCTCAGGACACAATGGCATGCCTCATAAAAACAGACTGACCTTTAAATAAAGCAGAAGACCAAAACAAGTGTTTGTGCAGAAATGAAAGGAATCAAGAACAAATTTGTTCACCTATTTTAAGATAAGCCATACAATTTGAAAAATTGAATACTCAAAAAAGGAATTAAATATGCATGCATGGGTAACACCGGTAGAAGTGGCAGAAGCCATTTTCAAAAATGAAACACCACTTTGTCTTGTAAGAAGTTGAATGTGAAAAAGCATTTATGAAAACAAGATTGATCTTGTTTAGATATAGAAGAGCCATCTAATTTCTCCATGAAGTCACAAACGTAGGCATATGCTCCCCTGCCACACACACTCACTCTAGGGTCAACTGGAGAAAGGCAATTAGCAGTCATTTCTCCAATTTTCCAGCTGGCATTAATCATAAGAGATCTTCAGGAACTGGCACGTTCCTTCTCCGTATGACAAAATGCCTACATCTTAACCTTGTGGAGAAAATAAACGGGTTTTGTGAGCCAATGGAACCTAGGCCATGAAACAAAGAACCAGAGGTACCCCTTCAGCCTAGCACTGGAGCTCCTCTTCTGTCTCTGGGAGTCGAGTGCCAACAACCGAACTCTGGGCGCTGGCCTGGGCAGCAGAATTGAGGACCTCCTCAAAACTTCCTCCAGGATGACTTGCTCCCCCAACTTTGGTCTGAAAGGAACAATAAAACTGAATCAATGAATTACCCTTCTTGAAGCCAATCACTGGTAAATCATTTCATTCTTGATATGGCCCTTGATTCACCTGGGCCTTCTCTTGAGCGAACGCAGGAACCGTAACCCCGGTTTTGCCTCATTCTTCCCCTGTTTTTAATCTGTTTATTATTTATTGTATAATGAGTTATTGAATTTTGCCATAATTTGTAAGCCGCTCTGAGTCCCCTTCGGGGTTAAGAAGAGTAGAGTATAAATATAAATAAATAAATAAATAAATCTTTGGTTATTGGCCAAACAAACAAATGCACAAAACTGTAACAAAAGGGCCTGTATCTTTATTGGCTATTTGTTAATTCACATTATCTTCGATTCCACTAGCCTCCTCTTAAAAAGGAAGAGACACAATAAATGTTTAAAATCCCCTCCAGTTTCCAGACTGAAAATTATATATTGATTTCTAACCAAAAGGGAAAAGGTAATAAGATGTGAATAGGAAGTCAACTTCCTATGAGACATTCAGTTCTGTGTGATTTTAATCCATAATGAACTGATAACAACCATCCTGTAGGTGGCTTATGATGGTGCAAATCCAATTTATGCCATAAGCCACTTCTTCAGTCTTTGGAGAGGTTGAAATCTGCCCAGTAGATTGCCCCCTTTCTGTTCCCCCTCTTACCTTAAGGCTTGTCACAGTGGTCTCAACCTTCTCTTCAAAGGACTTGAATGTAGGAGAATTCCTAAGAAGGTCAAAACAAAAAATCCAAGTTTCAAAACATTTCACATTTGTCCATGTTATTTTTTGCTTCTGAACAATGTTACCAGAAATGAATAAATAATCGAATTCCTACTACACTAAATTATTTACTCTTTGCCTTATTGCCAATATAGGCTTCAAGGTGATTTACAATACCAGCTGTAAGCCGCCCTGAGTCCCCTCTCGTGTGGTTGAGAAGGACAGGATACAAATGTTTGAAATACAAATTAAATACAAATTAAAACTAAAAATGCAGTATGAGTATCCCATTTCTGAAATGCTTGGGACCAGGTTTTTTTTTTTTGGAATACCTGTATTTGTAAATATGTATACAATGACATACCTTAAAATGAGATCCAAGTCTAAACATTACATTCATTTATGTCTCATAGATACCTTATACATGCAGCTAAAAAGTAATTTTAAACACAATTTTAAATGTTTAGTGCATGAAACAAAATTTAAAGAAGTAAAAGCGTCACTATCTCTGCCACCCATGTTGACAATTTTGGATTTTTTTAGTATTGCAGAATTCCGGATAAGGGATGCTCAATCTGCATACATAATACAAAAACTTAAAAAAACATTAAACCAATAAAATGTAGGCCAAGGTCCTGCATTGGGAAATGTACATGTACATGTATTGTGTGGCTACATCTTTGTAGCTGCAACTCCCAGGATTACCCCTCCTAACTCACTTTTAAGCAGTGGATGTCCCACAATACAACTACCGGTATTTTGTTTGTTTGGTTATTAGAGAGCAGAGATAAATCTAGCTGTGTTCTTGCAACTGAAGATGCTACCAAAGGCATCTGCACATTGTTTTCTCTTCTGTCATAATTGTTTTTTAAAAAATCTAGTGTATTTAGAACCAAATCAAAGCAGGGCTGTGGCATATGGAGTAAATAGTTGAATTCTTAGTACTAGGAGGACTCACCATCACCTCTGCTACCTGGAATGTTACACCAGCACCAATGGGAACTTCCTTCCTAAAGCAAACAGTAAGCTTCAAGTGGGCTTTTGTGTAGGATTATAGTCAAGGCAAAGGGGAAAGCTCCCCTCTTTTACGTGCCATGACAATTATTTAGCTTTAGCCTCCTACATGGGTATTTATTAAATGCACATGTGACCATACAGGGCCAAGCAATGTGAGCAAGATGGGGATTTAAGGCTTCAAAAATAGAAATAGATCATATGCAGCTTAAGTAACTCCACATTTGCTTTTATGTTGTCAAATTTACCATTCCAAGGGGTGGAGTAACTTCAGTAGATGCTGAAACTGGCAATGTGGGGTTAAATTGGGCTATTTAAACAAAATTATCCAGCTCTATGTGCTTCAGATACCATGAGAATAATCTATTTTAATAGATTTTTTTTCTGAGATCACTGTTTAGTGGCATTAATAACTGATTAATAACACCTTCCATTTTTCATTGTCTATTTTTAGAACTATTCCTGCCAATTAACTTCAGCTACTCAATATGTTTACCTTCTGCTTCTCTTTTAAACAGAACCAGACAGAAACCTCTTTTTAATGAGAATCTTGTATCTGATTCTGTCACAAGATTCTCACTAATCGAATAAAAGCAAATATCAGAAGCAGAAGTTAAAAACAACCAAGTGAGAATTCTTTTGATCTGACACAGATTTGATTCCAAGGATTCACTAGAAAGTAAAAGATGTATGATTATACATTATCTGCGGTAGAAATAATGATGTCTGAACTTTTACCTCATAGCAGGCATACTTATGGAATGGCGAATAGAATAACTGCATTCCCAAAACATGAGAAAAAAAGAGATAAAAAATTATTAAAACAATTTTGCAATTTGACTTACATTAAGAACAACTAATTGTATTCAACTTCTTACTAATAATTTCTGGCAGAAATGTTCTGGAAAGAAGCTGTTTTGACGTTCTTTAACATATAATGTAGCAGTCACAAAAAGATGAATAAGATTCAGAATAATAGTACCCAGGATCTTGTTTCCTAGACCGAACTCTTAAATGCTATTCCCAATTAGAGGTAACTTATTAAGTCAATGGAATTTACATAAGTGGGTCTCATTCAGCAATTGATTTAAATCAGTACAATCTAGTAAGGAGTAGCAACAGACTACTGTGTACCTTTCATATCGCATGAGCCATAATCTATTGTTAAATAATTAGGTTCATATCACACTAAAAGGATGCGAGTGTATGGGTAAGAAGGGGCTGTGGTACGAGTTAAATCCTTATGCTGCTGAACTGCTGTCCTGAAAGTTGTCTCATGGGGCGGGGTGAGCTCTCGCTGTTAGCCCTAGCTCCTGCCAACCTAACAGTTCGAAAGCTTGCAAATGTGAGATCAATAGGTATCACTTCAGCGGGAAAAGGCAAAAGATGCTCCAAGCAGTCATGCTGGGCATACTACCAGGGAAGGTGTCTATGGATGCAAGCTCCTTGGCTTGGAAATGGAGAAAGAGCACCTTCCTCCAGAGCTGGAAATGAAAGGAGAAGCCTTTGCCTTTGTCTGTGTGTTTGTGTCCCATTGTATGTCATTGTAATCAAGGCATTGAATGTTTGCCTGTGTCTGTTTATGTACTGCAATCTGCTCTGAGTCCCTTCTGGGAGAAGTGCGGAGTATAAATAAAGTGTATTTATTATTATTATACTGACACAAAAACACAGTATGTCACAGCAAACGAGATGTATATGCTAGATTTCATATGACAAAATCACAAGTCAAACACTTCCCAAGCGTCTAGGACTGTGTGATGTATTTTCGAATGATGCGTGCAGATCCAAGTAAGGTGGCCTTTTGCAGTTGACAGATTGTGATTTTGTCAATGTTTATTGTTTCCAAATGCCGGCTGAGATCTTTTGGCATGGCACCCAGTGTGCTGATGACCACTAGGACCACCTGTACTGCTTTATGCCAATTCGATTTTGAGGTCCTGATAATAGCTGAATTTTCCTTGTTGTTTTTCCTCAATGCGACTATCACCTGATGGTGGTATTATTATTATTATTATTATTATTATTATTATACATGGAAACATAAAAGGTTACATGGGGTTTTTAAGAAACAAGAAGTTTGGTGACGAGGACAGCAGAAAAGAACTTCAGAAGAAAACGAGAAAATGTCTCCTGGATCAGCATAAGGAGATATCAGATACTTAATGGTCATTCCTGAGTGTTAGCTATCAAAACCCATAGACCAAGCTATAAGGTTTGACTGGCACACAGAGGCTATGAGTAACTGAGACCATCTGGAAAACATTATTCAAACCAGGCCAATATTCTACATGTTAACTGGACACTTATTTCATTTGTTTCCTATTGTTTTCAGTTTATTGCAGAAACTATTATCTACTAAACTAATTATTGTTTTCAATAATGTTTGCTATTAATAAATAAACACATTTCAAAGGCTAAAAAATAAAGCATCCAAACTTTTCTCCCATTTTCCCAGTAAAAGGAATGGTGCTACACAGATGAGTATTTTCTAGGTTTCTACGCATATCCACAAAGAAAAAAATTCAAAATGAACAAGAGGACAGCATATGCCTTGCTTCACAATCTAACAGTTTCTTTCCTGCTTACCCAGTATGTAAAATCATGATAAAAGACAACTATGTTTCTAATTTTGCAGCAAAAAGGACAAGCATGTTGTGTCCTTTTCATAAAATAAGCTATACTAAACATTATCAAATTGTGCCGTTTGTAAACTGCCCTGAGTTGCCCTCGGATTGAGAAAGGTGGTATATAAATATAGTAAATAGATACATAAATAAATTACAGCATACATTAATCTTACCCAATTGAATGAGACCTGGACCAGCAGCATAAGGAAAAATTAAGAAGAGTTAAGCAGTAGGATATTGCTATGCAAACCTTTTTCTAAATCTGACATGAAATACTCAAAACCACAAGTGTTAAGATGACATTTATATAAATTTAGCTCATTTTGCATTAAATTCGTCTGTGCGCATGCTGTGTGTACTCTGAGACTTGCACATTATTTATCAACGAATGGTGTTGCGGCCAATAGCGCTGAAGTCACCTGAGAGATTCAGTAGAATTCATGGCAATGAAGTATCCCATCTAAATCCTGGCAGTGATGAAATGCTTCCTTGAATGACTGGAAAGAGACTTCTACAAAATAGATAGGAAACTGACAGGGGCTCCCCCAATTTTGGGAAGTTCAATATTTTTAAATACTTTAAAAAACTAAAAAACAAAGATTCCAATTCAGTTGGAGGAGGGCATAAGCTAAGCTAAGCAAAAAGAAGTAGGCAATTTGAGAAAAGAAATCAACAAAACATCTTTATGCCACAAAATCTGGGCCTCCAAGGCTTACCAAGATTGCTGAAAAGCTTTACTTTACCCAACCTCACTCTGTAAATAGCATGGTAAAACTTTGGCCCTCCAGGTGTTTTGAACTTCAACTCTCAGAAATCCCAACCAGCTTACCGGTTCTTAGGAATTGTGGGAGTTGAAGTCCAAAACACCTGGAGGGCCAAAGTTTGCCCATGCTTGCTCTACAACCATCAGGCACAAAAGTTCTTAACATTGATAAATACATTTGTCTCAGTTCACACAACCCCTTTTTGTAGTTGGCTTGACATTTTCCATAATCTGACTATCTGAATAATAAATGTTGGTGAAACTACATCACAATTTCTAGCACTTTTGTCACAAAGCTGCCTGTAGGGTTCATAAAAAAGTGTACAAGGGAAGCTTGTTCCTGCCAGCTGCAATCTCAGAGTGGGGTTGATAATAAGAGCATAATCCAGTTTGAAAAAAGCCCCAAAAGTACTCTCAAGTAATCCAAGCCTGTTATTGAAGTCCGTATCTAGTTTCATATAATTTAACGTGCACAGAAGAACTTAACATGAACAATCCTAGCTTCAAATTCTGTTAATAGGGATGGAATGTAACAAAACAATTATTATTTCATCCCTGAAAAACAAAGTAATATAAAGGGAATGGAGAGAGAATAATGTATGTATCCATCAAAATAAACAACACAAGAGAGAAACAGAAAAGCAGCTTCGAAGCATTAATCTTTACAATCCTTGTTACTGGCTCATGGTTTCAGCTCCATCAAATAAATTGCAACAGATGCAACTTAATGGTTTAGTTACTTTAGTAAAACCAGTTACTTATAAGATTACTCATAATATAGTCTTATAATTATAATTCTTCTTATAATTAGAAGAATGGGAAACTGTAGGGGAGCAATCAAACAAGTACTGCTGCTGTTGGTAATGCAATCGGATATATGGAGGCATTTAAAGAATGAATAGATGTAATGCAATAACAAAACTTCAAACCTATGCCATCAGCAAATAGAATTTGGTTGATATATTCACTAGTGTTTGAAAAAGCGACATGATTTTATAAGGCAAAAGTCATGTAGACTGAAATTAGTTGGACTCCTTTAGTAATGCAGTTCATGAGAAATCCTGAATGTGGTTGCTATTCAAATTTTGTCTAAACTGTTACCTGTTATTAGTTGATAAGAATATATTTTTCTTTTAACTGATCTGAAAGTATACTCTTTCTTGTGCAATCAAATTTCAATTTTATCTAGCTGTTCTCTTGACATCTTCACCATCATTCAACAAGGATATAGCTCAGTATGACTCAGTCACCAGCTATCCACTGCCAAGACACTACACTTGGAAGGCCATCATACTCGAACAACGAGGGATTGCCTAAGTAAGTAAGCTCAGTGGGTTGTGAGCTTTCCGGGCTGTATGGCCATGTTCCAGAAGCATTCTCTCCTGAAGTTTCGCTTGCAACTATGACAGGCATCTTCAGAGGTTGTAACATAACCTGGGCATAATTCCCCCACCCCAAATTTTAGAAAGATTTGAACACCCACTGATTTTTAGGGTGTTTTAACCAACATAAACTTAACAGTACTATTTCACTAGAAGACTCAGTCCAACCCTTTTCTGCCAGGCAGGAAAAGCACAGTCAAAGCACCCCCAACACATGCCCACCAAGTCTTCGGAAATAATAATAGTAGTAGCAGGAAGCCTACTAGGTAAACTTTGGGGTTACTGCATCTCAAGTTTGCCTACCTCACAGGGTTGATTCAACTCCCAACAATTCCCTTTTATCTCGAAACCCCTTTAGAGAATGAACACCAAAACTTTAAGGGAGGAATTCTGGGAAATATAGTTAGGGAAGGCAAGGACCCCTGTGGCAGGTAATTTAAAAGTCCCACTCTAAACAACATTTCCCAGAATTCTGCTTGCTTCCAGTGTTAAAGCCTCAATGTAAATGTGGCCTCTGCCTGTTCTCTCCAGGCCGGCCATGTGCCAGAGGGGCTTTTTCCTTGCCCGGCCGTCCAGCTCTGCATCCATCCCTCTTGTCCCCGCTCCCTTGCCGCCCCCTTTGGGGAAAAGAGCAGGGCTTCTCCCTCCATCCTGTGCTTTGCCATCCTCCTCAGGGCCCTTTGGGGGAACCAAACCCTGCCCTTTTGGGGGAGAAGTGCTGCCCGTGTCAAAGATCTGGAGCCATTTATGAGATTTACATAACTCTTCTGAAAAGTCATATGTCAGTGTTTGGAATCTTAAGGTTTTTTTGCATGGATGCCCCTTGCATTTTTTTTTAATATTGCGTTGTATGTATCTTACAAAATATTTATTTATTTATTTATTTATTTACTTCATTTGTTGACCGCCGCTCTCAGCCCTGGGGTGACTCGCGGCGGTGTACAACATGTAAAAAACAGTCTACAAAAACATACAATATATCAATAATCAAATTACACATTAATCTAATCACACTAAAAAATCCGCGCCATCACACATAGAATCAATAGCCAATCTCATAATCCGTAGTCCGTTCCAAGTGTCATTGCCAGATTCGTGTGGCTCTCAATTAAATGCCTTCTCGAATAGCAGGTCTTTAGGCTTCTGCGGAAGGATAGAAGGGAGGGCGCCTGTCTAATATCAACAGGGAGGTCGTTCCACAGCCGGGGGGCCACCACCGAGAAGGCCCTCTCTCTCGTCCCCGCCAGGCGTGCCTGTGAGGCAGGCGGGATCGAGAGAAGGGCCTCCCCAGATGATCTCAAGGCCCTCGTGGGCTCATAGGCCGAGATGCGGTCCGAAAGGTATTTTGGGCCGGAACCGTTTAGGGCTTTGTAGGATAACACCAGCACCTTGAATTGGGCCGGTAGCAAATCGGCAGCCAGTGGAGCTGGGACAACAAGGGCGTTGTGTGCTCCCTGCGTCCCGCTCCCGTTAGTAACATGGCTGCCGCGCGCTGGACTAGCTGAAGCTTCCGGGCCGTCTTCAAGGGCAGCCCCACGTAGAGAGCGTTGCAGTAGTCAAGGCGGGATGTGACCAGAGCGTGTACCACCGTGGCCAAGTCAGACTTCCCAAGATACGGGCGCAGCTGGCGCACGAGCCTAAGCTGTGCAAATGCTCCCCTGGTCACCCCTGAAACCTGGGGATCCAGGCTCAAAGATGAATCCAGGGTCACACCCAAGCTGCGAACCTGCGCCTTCAAGGGGAGCGCGACCCCGTCCAGCACAGGCTGTAACCCTATACCCTGTTCGGCCTTGCGACTGACCAGGAGTACCTCTGTCTTGTCTGGATTTAATTTCAGTTTGTTCGCCCTCATCCAGACCATCACAGCGGCCAGGCACCGGTTCAGGACTTCGACAGCCTCCTTAGTAGCAGGTGGAAAGGAGTGACAGAGTTGGACATCATCTGCGTACAGATGACACCGCACCCCGAAACTCCGGATGATCTCACCCAGCGGCTTCATGTAGATATTAAACAGCATGGGGGACAGTATAGAGCCCTGTGGAACCCCACAGGACAAAGGCTGTGGTGTTGAACAGGAGTCCCCCACTAACACCTTCTGGGTACGACCCTCCAGAAATGACTGGAGCCACTGCAGAGCAGTGCCCCCAAGACCCATTTCCGCAAGGCGCCCCAGAAGGATACCGTGGTCGACGGTATCGAAGGCCGCTGAGAGGTCCAGGAGCACAAACAGGGACACACTCCCCCTGTCTAGCTCCCGGCGCAGATCATCCACTAAGGCGACCAAGACCGTCTCGGTACCATGTCCCGGTCTGAAACCAGACTGTGCCGGATCCAGATAATCCGTGTCTCTCAAGAATACCTGGAGTTGTGAGGCCACCACGCTTTCCATGACTTTGCCCAAAAAGGGGAGATTGGAAACAGGCCGAAAGTTGTCAAATTTAGTGGGGTCCAATGATGGTTTCTTCAACAGCGGTTTTATAATTGCTTGTTTTAAGCACGCTGGAATCTTGCCTTCCCGAAGGGAGGCATTAACCACCACCGTTACCCACTCAGCCAATCCCCCTCTGGCCTCTTTCAGAAGCCAGGATGGACAGGGGTCTAGGATGGACGTGGTAGGCCTCATTCCTCCAAGTATCTTGTCCACATCCTCGGGTTTCACAAACTGAAAAGAATCCAACAAAATAGGACAAGCAGGTGCTCGTGTCACATCCACAGAGACTGCATTTAACATGGTGTCCAGCTCAGAACGGATCAAAGCGACTTTGTCTGCAAAGAACCGAGCAAATGCTTCACAGCGCGTGACCGAATTGCCAGGGCTCCCGCCTGAAGTGGCGGGAGTTAAAAGACCTCTGACAATCCGAAACAACTCCGCCGGACGGTTCTTTGCAGACGCAATAGTGGCCGCAAAGAAAGTTTTCTTTGCGGCTTTTATTGCCGCGGCATATGCCCTTAAAAAGGACACAAACCGTGTTCGATTTGACTCGCTTGGGTCTGAACGCCACACGCTCTCTAGTTCCCTCTTCCTTCGCTTCATCACTGCCAGCTCCTCAGTAAACCAAGGAGCTGGTTTAGCTCGGCTACTTGAGAGGGGACGTTCCGGGGCGATCATGTCAATTGCCCTGGTCATCTCCCCATTCCAGAGAGCGACCAAGGCCTCGACATGGTCACCTACCGCGGAGGCGGGAAAATCCCCAAGAGCCGTCAGGAATCCATTCGGATCCATAAGCCTCCTGGGGCGGACCATCTTAATGGGTCCTCCACCCTTGCAGAGGTTAGGGGGTGCAGTGAGCCTAAATCTGATCAGGAAGTGGTCAGTCCATGGCAACGGAGAGATGGACAACTCCTCCACACCGCCACCCTGCTCCCATCCCTGACAGAAAACCAAGTCCAATGTGTGTCCAGCACAATGGGTGGGGCCAGATATTTGTTGGGACAGCCCCATGGTTGCCCCAATAGATACAACAAACAAGGCACAAACAAAATCTTGCACAGCCCTAATACTCAAGTATAAGTTTGGAAATTTTAATAAAAAATCAGACCAAAAAAGGGGCCAACATATCCAGGTGTCAGTGTGAGCACTGTACCTTAACACTTATCAAAAGGGGAAACAATTCCTTTTTAAGCAATGTGGCAAATCTGTTTTGGAAGTACCTAAAAGAAGCACCACCCCCTCTACTCTCTCCACCATGGTGCTGGTTTTAGTCTTTTTGAATAACTGCAGAAATACCTGGTGATGGCCAAGAGCGGCTGCCCCTTAAGGCAGTACTGGTGGTTTCTCTTCTCTGCAGAATAACCCTTGACTTATCCACGGGTCACATCAAAATCCATAATTTTGGCCCCAAAACCTGCCCATGAAGTTGACATATGCAATACATTAAAAAGGACAGTATATACAGCTTCCAATGCTGGACTTCTGCATTAAGCACTATCTTTTTTTACTTCCAAATTGGATGTAACATAGTCTGTTGCATTGGATGTAACATAGTCTGTTGCAGAAAGAGCTTTTTCTATCAGTGGGAGGTGTCTGATCCAACAGAGCTTTCCTGCTGGCTGAATGAGGATGTAATATGTAATCTTCACAAATGCAGTCTTGCAGCCTCAATCTATATCTCATAGGACTCTTGAGAACGGTGGAAGAGGCGATGCTGGGAGCTTCAAAGAACGGAAGGAATTTCCTTCTCATTGGTGAAGGTAGAAGTATGTGGAATGAAACTTAAGTATTGAGAGGAATAAAAACTATTGCTCCAAATTTGCATGCAGAACAAAAAAGGGGACTTGTTTAATTTTGTTTTTCCATGCGCTCAAGCAACCAGACTTTGTGTTCCTTTCCTTAAGGACCACTTGCTATCTACACTTCAACAGTCCAGAAGACCAGGTTTTTTAATAACAGGATCCAACAGAATGTTCCTGAAGACTTTTCATGAAAGATGGCTCAAAATAAGGACAGAAATGTACACTGTGGGGCAAGTTACTTGACAGTTAATGGCACTGAACATAATAGAAACTGTGTGTGTATGTGTCTGTTCTATAAAACATTATGGCTGGGAAAGGCTAGTTTCCACAAGTTAAATGTCACAGAAAATACTCCGTTATCACTTCTTATTCCCTCAGACATAATGAAGGAAATTCAGGCAGCCAGCTCCAAATAAAAAAGCCCACTACCACTTACTAACAGCCCTGAAGACATTATACATAGTTCAGTCCAAACAAGAGGACATAGGGATGAAAGGATTATAAAACAACATAGAGTAACCAGTTCAAACCTGTGCAATACTCATCAAGGCATAATATTCGCACCCCTCTTTTGGGGTCCTGAAAATCTTGACTTTCCTCACTTAATTGTTACATTAGATCTGGCTGTGTCTGATGTTCTTCCTTCTTTTTAAAAAGAAATACAATTGGAGCCAGTTGAGTCTTCTCCCTCTTGGCTCCTCGGGAGTAAGAGAGAGAAAGTCCCAGACCAAGGTAGCTCAACTGTTATCAGATACAAATTTGTAACTAAGTAATTGTCAGAGAACCATTCTGCGAACAAGAAGCTTGCACAAATTGGTATTTTATTCTATTAGTTCCATATTCTTTGTTTTGTGAATGTCTTTAGTGTTCAAAACAGATGAAAAATTATCCGTACCATATACCACGTATCACAGATACTTCACAAAGTACATGCTGAAATACAGTTTGTTTGTTTTTTTAAAAAAACAACTACAAATGTATATCTGATACTTCAGTGTGAGACACACATGAAGCTGTTTGTGGCCCATAAAGTCCCAAATGAACACTTGAGCAGGGGAGGAAAACAGAGGAGGGAGAGGGAGAGAAGGGGATTACAGGCAGTCCCCAAGTTATGAACAAGATAGGTTCTGTAGGTTTGTTCTTAAGTTGAATTTGTATGTAAGTTGGAACAGGTACATTTTTAAAGTATTGCTTCAGCCATTGATAGTTTGTGTTTGTCTGTGCCCCTGTTCAGAAGATTTCACCACACTTTCTGTCCTATGATCATTGGATCTTGAACAATGTGGTGTATTGTTGAAACAAGGATTGTTGAGAAAGCTTCAGTTGAGAAACCTTTGCTCCATGATAATAACTCTTTCAGGAGGGGTAGATTTCTCTCACTTCCTGTTGTCCCCCCCCCCCCTTCTTAACTATGTAAGTCATTTGTAAGTCATATGCTTGTGACTTGGGGACTGTCTGTATAAACAACATAGAAAATACATGACTATAGTAAAGTTAACAAAATGTAAATGCTCAGTTGGCCCTATTTCAGCTAGAGGATGAAATTTAAAATATATATATTAAAATACCAATAGTTATGTATGTCTAAAATCTGTCGATGCAATCATCCTTGACTACTTGTTCACTCTCTGGAAATACATGTGAGATTTTCCTTTGGAAGTTGGATTATAATTATAGGGCCAAACCCAATGTGACTTAATTTATGATTAGGATTTCCTGTTTTCTATTTTATGAATCAGCAATCTCACAGCTCCATTTTGAAAACAGAGCTACAGCTTTCTGCAATGTGTGACTTAACTCTTTATCCTTTGTGTACATTCCTCTCTACTCTCAAATTAAGTAGCTATTGTCACATAGTTTAGTTGGGAGAAGGTTGGGTGAGAAAGACCACAGAAGGAGGAATCCTTGCTACTCTATAGTTACTTCTTCCTCCATTACCAATAATGTCATATGAAGGAAAACGATTCAATTGTGAAGGATAGTTGTGAATCTCTGAATGGTTCTACCTTGCTATGTGTAGAGCACTTTGCCAAAGGCAGTGAAGAGATATACGAAAGATGTTTTTACTACTGTTTTGTGTTCCTAGGGAATTTGATAAAACAGTCACTGTATTGATGTTTCGAAGAATAGCTTGGAGGCAAGTTTTTCTCCTTCCAACATTTCTGTCTCAAATATTCCATTCATCAAAGAAATTAGGCTAATGGAGATTTTCTGGCTTTGCTTAAACATGTTTAGTGTTATTCACTAAACAGGATTCCAATAAATGATCTCTGATTTCTCTTGCAATTTACCAGGGAAACAACTTAATGAGCTATCATTATTTCCTTTGTGATAAAAAGAGCAAAAGTTAATGTTGGCTTAGACATGATTCAACTTAATCATCATAATGTTATGAAATAAAGAAAAGGGAAGAAGATGACTAAACTTCATCTTTGAAATTAAGTCCATTTTTCTGTACCTCATATCCCCAAACTTCTTACTGATGACTGTTCCAACATTGCTGATAGCAGCTGTGGCCTTTTGCCCTGCTTGACTCAGAGTCTCCTGTGTCCTCTTATACCTAGAAACAAAATACACAACAATGTCAGTTTCAATCTTAACAGAAAACAAAATCCAGCCATTGAGGTTGTAATTCAGAAGATTATTATTACTATACCTGAAATTCACCAACAATTATGAAAACAAGACTTTAGTACATTAATCTCAACTGAAAAATAGCAAAGAATGCACCTTATAGTTTTAAATTTTCTTTGCTGAATACTTTTTGATCCCAACAGTTTTTCAGTGACGTTAAGTATGCTTCATATATATATAACAAGATGCTCATCCAGATCAAAGCAATAAACTGCAACAGCATAATTTTATGTAAGGATATAAACTTAATTGCCATGGGAAAGAAAGAGCAATTATTTGCCTTTCTTCATCCAGCCACCCACTCTCAGTTTGTTCCCTTTTCCATTCTTCTCTAAATGCACATTTTTGGATTGTGCCACTTAAGCATCTACCTTTTTCAATTTTCAATTCTTTTTTTTCATGAAAAAGGACTGCCTACATGATGTAAACTATACAATTACATTAACATTGAATGGTTATTGCTTGAGGCAGGCAGGGCAGTGCTTTCTCACACATCAGAACACCTTAATCAGATCCTATATTGTCTCTCTTGCACAATTCATCAGCAAGTCACTTGAATTGCCTTTTTGGTTTAAAGCAATACAAGTTCCTGACTTCTGGCTGCTACACATACATTCCTCTCCCCTACCTTCCCCTCAAAGCCCCGGTTGGTCTACATTCAGGTAGTTCAAAGAGGGAAATACTCACCCACAGCTTCTAAGGGAGGCAGGAATCTAGATGGAATACTTGATCTAATAACTCAATTTTCATTCTGTTGTTTTTCTTAAGCCAAAAAGGGCACAACTGTTTGTGCCTCAGTGGAGTATCTCTTAAGGACACCCCTAGCCAGGCCTAGGCAGTGGGAGTTGACAGCAGCATTAACATCTGAGCTTCCTTCTACACAATGGCTAAAGGAAATAGGTCAGAGCCAGACATAACAGAAACTGCTGCCTTATATGTGTTGTCACTTTGGAGACACAAGAAGCACGCACTTTGCCTATGCCTAGCCCAGCTACATACAAGCCTACTTGCTTACAAATGGGATGAGACTAAAGCCACTTTTGGTAGAGCAGCAGTAGCAGAAACAGCATCTGAGTCCTACAACAGAAAACAACTCCTGTTCCAGCAAACTGGTGTTTCTGTGGAGAACAAGTCTGAACTGAAGATGTATCATGTACTTCAAACTCTATTCGTGGTTTTTTTTAACCAGATCATATTATTGCAATATCTTTTAGACAAGGCCACTATCTTCCAGTAATTCCATTCTCTTTCTTTTTGTTTCACAAAACAGTTTTTTTTTTTCAAATCCTGGGTCACAGCAGATCACAATGAAATTAAGAGGTACTCTCTTCCTATCTGAGGGATTTAGAAGGATGTGCTGGCATTTGTGAGAGAGCAAGCCAGCAGCAAATAAGAAAAAAAATGTTTGAATTCAAAACATCACTTGCAACTTCCACTTTAAAGATATTTTTCCTTTGTCTTGGCTTTTGTTTTTCCCTTTGAAATACAATTATAGCTCATGCTTCATTCTACTTCAAGGATAAGAATTGTGCTTTATGTAACCAGAAGTGAGGAGAAGTGGGAACACTGAGGAAGAACTCTCAAGGGTTTGGTTTCTGCCTGTGGGCATATTTTCTCCTGCAGTTAAAAACAAAGTGTGTGCTTCCTAAATCCTTTGTAGTAAAGCAGGTTGAAAATTAGGGAAACAAACAGGAGCATTTTTACAGCTTGTTCTCTGCTAGTAGGCTTTGTGCCTGCTGTTAAGATTTTCCAACCCACCTGCCTTCTAATGAACAGCAGCACAGTCATTTACAGCATTTTACTCAAAAGTATGCCCCCCCTGGAGTTCATGCCCTAGGTAAGTATGCAAGGAACTGCAATCCTAGGTGGATCTAGACAGCCCCTTTATTGCAGAAACTTCCCCAATAAAAAGGGGGCTGTCTAGACAACATTCTGGACAATCCCGAATTAATTTGACACAAATCGGGAAAACCCAGATTTGAGGCGAATTAATTTGATAGTGAGTTTATTCTGCGCCTTCTTGGAAGGCGCGGGATAAACCCACTACTTCCTGTGTCTGGACTGCAGTCCAGACACCATTCCCACAGTTTTCTGGGCTAAAAGCCCTACCCCCCCCCCCATTAAAAATAAAAGTACTTACCAGCCTCCATTGGAGAGCTGCGGTAGCTCTCCTGGTGCATAGACGTGCCAGGAGAATTTTTTTTTGGGGGGGGGGAGGCAAAAAAATCGCTCCTCCCCCCCCTTCTCCTGGCTCGTCATTTCTATGTGCCAGGAAAGCTGCTGCAGCTCTCTAGTGGAGGCTGGTAAGTACTTTTATTTTTAAAAGGGGGTTTCGGGCTTTTGGGGAGAGGGATAGAGTCTCCAGGTGTTCTCCTGGGCCAGTCCCTGAAGAACATCTGGACACCTACCCTAGAAAGCGCACGCTTTCTAGGGCCCCAGGAGCATCCAAGTTTTTAAAAAGCGGATGCTCCTGGGATGAAGCCCTGTCTTGAAAGGCCCCTGGAAGACTTTAAGAGAAAAAGACTACTCAATTTTCTTCTTCTTTAAATTACTTTAAAAAGAGCATTAAAAATGAACATTGTCAAAATTGCCAGGGCACATTTTTTAATCCAGTAGTCCAAATGCTCTGCTATTCTTGGTCACCAATACCTATGGCCTAAACCTATACCTAGCTTCACGTACCCCTGCCTCTGTCTTCTATGTATTGCCCTCCACCTCACTATCTACCACTTATTACAACTGTCATGCTACATATATTTCCTTAATGTGTTAATTTCCATTTGCAAATTGTGTCCTGAGAGTCTTAAAAGTAGGAAACATTAAGAATTATTATCTGCCTACTGAAGATAGACTTGACTTCTGCAGCCTCCTCTTTCGCACTTTGTAAAAATAGTTCCCATACACAGGAAACAGGGCATAGCAACGAAGTGCACAACCTGGTATTGTCAACAACATGGCAACTCATCACAACGGATTGTTTCCAAATAACTCATAAATTATGAAACAGAATACTTCACTGATTTAAATAAATATCTCATGAAATTCACTGGATCAACTCAGACAAATCACTGTTTCACAGCTTTATAAGAGAAAAGATTTCTTTACGCAAGGATAACATGGCTCTATGTATCACATAGAGCTCCTTGGAGGAAATCTGGGACATAAATGTGATAATGAAACAAAAATAGCTGCTTTAAGTCATTGCTGCAGTTATTCGTTGAGAAAAATTAGAAAGAAGGGGCAAAGTGAAAGTAGTTCTTCTTCTCTTAAAAGCAGCCCCATAATATTGGGCACAATCCTCTTAAATTTGCACATGACTGCTTTATAGGACATGCTTTGACTTGCTATGCTTACATTCTTTGTCAAAATTGCTAAGTGTTATTAAAACCTTGAGGATAACTATTCAAATTGCTAATTTATTTGAGTGCACATTCACATGCAGAGGTGGCCCTAGGTAATTTTCAACGGTAAGCAAACAGTATTTTGGCCCCACTCCCCCAACCAATCACTGATATATATTTTCTGTGTATATATATTTTCATGGGAGTTCTGTGTGCCATATTTGGTTCAATTCCATCATTGGTGGAGTTCAGAATGCTCTTTGATTGTAGGTGAACTATACATCCTAGTAACTACAACTCGCATATGTCAAGGTCTATTTTCCTCCAAGAGAGCCTCAAGAGCGCCCCTGGGCAAAATCAACTATACTGCAAATGCTTACTTTGTGTATTGGGTTGAGCTGCCCCTGTTCACATGCCACAAGTCACCTTTCCCCTTTTCCTGTCTGATGGTTTACATACTCAGGTTGGAGCCCTAAACAGAATACTGAGCAGGATCCAACAGGATAATCCTGAGGATATAAATTGCTTTCACCCATGGAATTGGGATTGGGTGACCATCATTACAGGGCAAAGATGGTCTAGGAAATCTTCTGAGTACTTTTTTTGTTGATGCAGAAGACTGAGGGCAGGGGTGGGATTGAAAGGAAACTCTGACACGTATTTGTTTTAGCACATGCAGATATCATATACACAACTGAAAGCAACTAATAAATTATTGCTTTAACCATTAGGTATTTTTCCCTGTATCCACAGGGATATGTTTCCAGGCCTCACTCTATTGAAACAATGAACTTTTGACCCAAGAATACCAGAGTCACACTGGTGGTCTTAGAAAATGCCAAGATAGGCCATGTTTTGTCAGATGTTAATACATGAAACCAATAGATACTGACCTCATAGATATGGGAACTGTATTGCAACATGCTCTGAGTGAGCAGAGAACATACATAAAATAAATGTTACTAAAGCTAATAATATACTAATCAATCAGGATGACTCTGCAGGATAATTATAATTGAGGAGAAGGTTCTTAAGTGAAAATTGTGCAACTAAATTCCGGCTGCTGCTCCACAATGGTCCAACGCAGGGGTAAATTGTCTTCTGCTGAACTGAGCTCTTTTCTTCATGAAGCTCTCTTGTTTCCACAAGCCTCTTAAGAGTTAGATGTGCTCAGGCTTTCCCCATGGCTAACACTAACCATGTTTCCTCTTAGTCAGAGTTTGCAAATCAATTCTGAGTCTTTGGTTATGATGGAAATCCTGTTGTCTGTTAAACACAGTTGTTTCTAGAATCATGCCTTCATTTTCTTTGCATTCTTCCTCCAAAGCTGGTTCTTGTTGTTGGCCTACAGTGTCAGACATTATTAGGGCAGGAATCCATAAAATGTTTCCATCACACACTGATTCTCCTGCCAGTAAAAGGCAAAAGAGGCAACTTTTATCCTTCCTCATTCAGCCCCTTATGTCTCCAAAATCTACTCCAGAAGACTGAAATGGGTGGAAATCACTAAAGTCCTTCTTCCTTTTCTGCCAACAGGATCCTCTATCCTCTTCATTTCATGGGCATGTTGTTAGGATCCAAAACTAAGGATAGAGTGCTATCATTTTACCTGGTGCTTTTCAGGGTAACAACAAAAGGCAGATCTCTATTGGGGAAACATCCTAATGAGGCACCTCAGGCTAAATGCAGTATCACTCATGCATGGCAAGTGAGGAGACAAGAACTCTGGCTTCTAAGTCACAAGAACTGTAGTAATACACGCTACCCAATCACTTTGTTTGTAAAAGTAGCAATTACATGAACTACAGAACTGAATGCAAAAGCTTTGTCTACACTGGTTTGTTTCTCTTTCACCAAATCAGTGGGAAATTTTATTGTTTTTTTCTGTTTGTTTCTTTGGCTGCAGTAAATATGCCTTTGCAATGTCCAAAGAGGCATTCGTACAAAACAAAGACTGGGTTTGCCCCTGCATATAAATTTTGTCTCCATTTCTTTTGACCTAATTATTTCTGCATTTATCTACAGATAAGAATTCTGCCCCTTTTTTCTGTCTAAACTGTGATGACATCTAATGCACTTATTATGTTCATATTCTACATGCCTGATTATACCAAACAAATGCAATAAGTAAGGAAAAAGAGGATGTTGATCACAGAATCATGCTGGTAGACCGACAAATGGGTAAAGATGGATTCAGTCTATGAATCTCTGGGTTCTCTACTGTTACTCTATGATCAACGTTTGGCAGACATTAAGCAGAGTCGTACTAGAGGATGCAGAGATTCCTAGAGATGACATATTAATCAAATCAGCACAGGTGAAACCCACAAATCTGGAGGACAAATTATAGTTGTCATATCTAACTCAGCATATTAGCCTCCTCTATATATGATACTATTGCAATAAATCTAGCATCAAGAAAATAAACATCAGAATTGCATATTTGGGGACAAGAGTTAATAAAATAGATTAAATTTAAAATACATAGCATGCTAGGTGAAAGCATTAAAGCATCTTTAGACTACAGTGACCATAATCCACAACAAGCACCCCATTTATGTGAATTGCATTCCAGCACATTAGGACAGTATGAGGCTGTCCTGATGTGCTGGAGTGTGCTTTTTATTTTTCCATATGAAAAATTTAAATTTTGTTCAAGTAAATTTATTGCAGGTTATGTCTTAAAATGTAAGTTACATTTTTATGACTCCAGATCTGTCTTTGCTGAAGTGCAAGGAAAGAACTGTCTGGAAATTAGGCTGCATCCTAAGATGGTACATGTCATGTAGATTTGAACAGTCCACACAGTTATTTCTCTGCCAGTTTCTACAAAAGATGGAAGTTATTATTAAAAAAACAAAACTGAAGTGCATCTTAGGTGATCATTTTGCTGACATGCTAAGGTCAACAAATAACTACTTTGCGGGGGGAGAGGGGGAAAAACCAAACAATAATCGAAACATGGACATATCACCTTTACAACACCAACATCTGTGCTTTAAAAAACTAGTTTGGCTGAATATGCTGTAACAACTTGTGTTGTGTGTATCCCACATTTACATCCATGAATCTCAGAATGACACATCATATAGCCCTCACATTTTATTCTCACAACTATCCTCTCAGATATGGCACATATGACAAGGGAAAGAGAGTTATCCAAGTCTATCCAGTGAAGTTTCATGGTCCAATGAAAGCTAAAAACCAGTCACTAAAAAGTTCAACAAAATAACCATTGTACGACCCAAACTTTCTGAGGACTAATGGAATAGTATTCAGTGCTACACAATGGAAACAATGAACATGTAGGAGGTTTCCACTCACGCAGTAGTTGTTTGCACATCATGCCAGCTCTTGCTAAAGTTCTGTTTCAGTTCATTCATCATGTTGATGCCAAGCTTTTGCTTTATTTCTATAAGATGCTTCTCTTTAGCTGCTAACACTTGACGCAAAGTTGCAATTTCATCCTCAAGCTGAATAGAATTAACAAAGGAAAAGCTTGTATTATTGCTCTTCATTATATATATATAACAATTCTAGACACATTTTCTTGAAGAGCACAAAGGAAACAGTAAAGCTAGCCAAAAATACACTCCAGCAAAATATGGTCAGCTTAATTTCATTATCCTTCAAAGTTTGTTACAGGTGGTTTGTTTGCCTGATATTCCACGGTTCTCCCAGCACAAGATATGAGGCAGCTTACAACCATTTTAAAAGTTAGCACAGTGGAGACACCTTTTCCCCATGATAACTCTTTCAGGAGTGAATCTCCCTTCCTAGAGGTAATTTTTCTCACTTCCTGTTGTCTCACTCCTGTTCTTAACTATGAGTCATTTCTAAGTTGGATGATTGTAATCTGAGGACTGCCAGTATATGAAATATAAATTAATTTTGTTTTTAGACCTGGGTGTTATCACTAAGATATCTCATTGTGTACGCATATGCAAATACGGGTATCTCAAAATCCCCCAAAAATCTGAAATCCAAAACACTTCTGGTCCCAAGCATTTTGGACAAAGGATAGCTGCCTTAAGTCCCTATGAGGTGAAAGGCGGATAATAAATAAAGTTAATAAATAAAATACTCAGCCTGTACTTGCAATTAATTTGCTGCAATTAAATTTAGAAAAATACTGAGAAATATGGCATATTTATGTGCACTTATGAGTTCTGTTAATTAAATGTCAATTACAGGTTCATTAAAAAAATAAACAGTATGGAACTGAATAATATGAGCACAGGTGTTAAATACCAGCAATTAACAATACAAAAGGGCATGTCAATAATGTAATTATTGTCTAATCAAATACCACAAAATATTGTGTGTTTGTTTTTAATAAACTACACAGGGGCATTGATGCTGCTGAATATCCTAGTGCAAATTTTACATGACAGTTTATTTAAAAGAATGGAAATTTAGGATTATCTGATAAAGAAACTACTGTATCAAATTAAAATGGTGGCAGACGTAGAAGCATTATGTTTGCCAATTTGTTCATGTATTTATTACCCATAGTGGCTTCAATGAAATTTCCCCATTCTTGACTCTGTGACCTGGTAAGTCCTGCTATGTGTAAAGATCTCCATATTGAAGTGTTGTGAGCAGATGGCATGGAAATAATCTTGCTCTTTAAGAGAGGCTGTCTGCATAGAAAACTAGCTTTCTCTAGCCTGCAGAGCTAGGAGAAAGCATCTTAACAAGAAACAAACCAATATGGGGAAGCCTTTATTTTCTGTGTTGTTTTAAAAATAAAACAAATTAAAGAGAGCCCCCAATTTGTTCTAGTAAAGAAAACATCATAAATAAAGGGAGAAAGGGGCCTAGCTGGGTATCTCATTGAACAAGATACCTTCATTGACTTCAGAAAACCTAATCAGAATTACTTTATGAAAGAAGCATGTTTTAAAGCTGTCCTATTAGATAAAAGGCTAGAGGATTATAAACAATTAAAATTCTGAGTGCTCAAACTACAGTTCTCTTTATCAAAATATTCCAATACATTAATGTTTTCAAAGTAAGATAAATTCTGTACAAAGAATTATCCAGCAAAGCCAATTTGGCATACATATAGTGTATGGCTGAATGCTCTAGTTCCAACTAGAGCAGACTGAGAGAAATGGATGGGACTTTCTAGCCATCAAGACCTATGTCAGTTCCACTAATTTCAACAGATCTAACTGGGATGGATATTGGTGCAGCTCACTTTGAACAATTTTACTATCACTAGGGCACCGCTTGCTGTTTTTACATATGAATAATAGTTTTTCAAAAGCTTCTACACAGAAATGCCCCAAAATAACTTTCATAAACCAGCTCTATGTATAAAAGAAAATAATCTGCTGTCAACAGTCATAATTCTTATACATTCATAAATATCTACAAGACCTTCACACTATTTGTACAATTTACTCAAAATAATAATGAAATTGTGATTATATGACATTTTGAAAATATAAAGCAGTTAATCTGGAAGTAATGGCTTCCCAATTATGGGAATAGATACAATCAGTGCTTTTAGGATATTGTTGAAATGGGAATGAATGTATTCTAAGGATTTTATGGCAATGACGCACATATTTTCAAAGGCACTGAGAACTAGAAGGCAAGCAACTCCCATTAGAAGCACAGCAGCTACTCTAAGCAAACATGAATTCATTATAGCTTTGCAAAAGTGTAAATTCTGAAAATTTCCAGGCATTTCTAAATGCAAATCCCCAATGCATTTCCTTTCTACAATGTATTTACAAGCTATTTAAACATTGTGAACAATTTAGAACAGTCTTCTGAGCAGAGCTGACCTAGATTTTACAACAGCTATGACTTAATAACACTCAGTATTGCGATATGTGCCTTGAGGATGGGGGCCTTAATCTCTGTTCACATCAAAAAGAAAGCTAGATTAGGGAAGAAGACATTAAATCCTATGTTCCTGCTCTTCGGTACTTTCTCAGGAAGAGGTTAAGAGGGAAATGTGACATGCAAACTAAGTAGGACTGTTTTTCAAGTGTATTAACAAAAACTGTCTTGCTTGTAAAACTAAGCCAGATAGATTCAAAATTGTTCTGCCTATCAAATGTATATTCAAGCTCCTCCCAACAACTCAGAGAAACAAACATGGAGTCTCCCCATTTTGTCCCTGAAACAAATCTGTGAAGTGGAAAAACATGAAACAGATAAATTTGCCCCCAGACAGAAGTGTAATTCATTTTTCTAAGACATGGTTTCCCAAGCTGCCCAACAAACTATGTACCATATTACATTAATTCTCTTCTCAGTCAGTCTGCGAGTAAGATGATGCCTGTTTAAGGAAACACTCATTATAAGCAGTATTTGGGCATTTACTTCCCTGTCCTTTTAAATCAGAAATATTGAACTTTGTTCACCCCATGTGGGTACAATTTTGTAAATGTTAAAGTCACAACAGTGTAAGAAGACTCTCCTGTAATGTATAGGCAATTCCAAAACACTCACCAATTCATTTTTACAGGCAATATATGTTCCAGAATATATAATTTTGGTCTTAGCAATGTTTTCCTGAATCAGATCTTGAAATGACATATCAAGAAGATCAATGAATATTACCTTTTCAAGTTCTATTTTTAACTCTTCTCGTTCTTCCTCAGAAATCATACTGGTAAAATCAACATCGGTGACCATGTCTTCATCTGCTTCATGTAATACTTGTCTTTGCAACAGACCTTTGGAATTAAAAGATAAATGAAAGTTGGGGTACATCAATGTGCAGGGGGGAAATGCAAAGATTTCCAGTACACTCTCAGTCTTTACTAAAACAACTAAGCTTGTTTGGAATTCTCTCTGCTTTTATAAATCCTTTGAAACTTAAAAAAAAAATTAGTTGGACTCTTAACAAGGAGGAGCATAGGGCTTAGCAGCAGAACAAATACTTTGCAAACTTAAAGAGCCAGATACAATCCTTATGATTTCCAAGGCTACAGAGATGGCAGTACCTCTGCTTGAAATTTTGGGAAATCATTGCCAATTGAAATAGAAAGCAGTTAGTTATTGTCCATGACACTACCTCTAAGAACACAACATCATATTGCAATGAAATCCCAAAACAGATAACACCCTAATCTCTACAAACTTGATATGTGGTATGTGTTTGCACCTGCACTGAAAACATGTTATAATTACATCTGATTATCTAAATGTCCTTTCCTACCTGACTACCTTTTTGCTGTGGTGGGACTGTGTACTTCAAAGAGATAAAAGATTAGGTTGAAGACCCAAAATGTTGCTGTAGTTAATGGGCAGTTACAGGAGTGAAGGGTGATTCCGGCAAAGGATCTTTCAGAGACAATAGCAGCAACACCATTGCTAACACTTGTCAATATTGTACAAATTGAGGCATAATTGTCCCCTGTGATGGTGCAATTTGATGTTGTGTTCTTATAGGTAGTGTCATGGACAATAACTAACTGCTCTCTATTTCAATTGGCAATGATTTCCCAAGATTTCAAGCAGAGGTATTGCCATCTCTGTAGCCTTGGAGATCATAAGGATTGTGTCTGGCTCCTTAAGTTTGGAAAGTATAGGCTTTTGCTGAGAAACCAGACTAAAATGACAAATAGTTAATAGTCAGTTACAGTAGTGAAGGGCGATGCTGGCAAAGGATCTCTCAGAGACAATAGCAGAAACACCACTGCTAACACTTGTCAATATTGTACAAATGGAGGCATAATAACCCCCTTTGACTATATTTCACCAAGAAGCCCCATAATGAGAGAATTCAAATGAAACAAGGGATAGTGTCTGGAGACTACTAGGTCCAACGGAACTCAGTGAGATACTGGAGTTAAACAGAGAATAACTACAAGTAGCCCAGAGGCTAATGACACAATTGCATTGAATTTTACAAGACCAACAGTTTGTTCATTGCAAACACATTATCTAGCAAACAAAAAGATCTTCCTCATTATCCGAAAAATCAAAGGGAGATTGAAACCAAGATGGTATCTCATCAGCAAGGCAACATATTACATAACCAAGGAGAAATAAAAATGGAGTGGAAAAATTAACTGAAGAATTATATAAAGAAAAAAGAAAGGATGAAAAATTAATTCAAGGGGAAACCATTTAAAGATGACCTCTAGTTTTAGAAGGTGAAGCGAAAGGTGCACTCAGAGTACCTGAGATAAATAATATTTACCAGGAACAGATGGCAGACTAACGGAGTTGCTTCATACTACAGAAACAGTCTACTCTAGTTCTAATAAACAATGGTCCATAGATTTGAAACACTGAAAATACATTCCAATCCCCATGGATTGCAAATAACCACAGAACTGCATTTATCTCCTATGCAAGGAAGGTGATGCCTAAAATTCTACAACAAAAACTTTTAACATATATGGAACAAGAAATGCTAGGTGTTTAAGCTGATTCAGGAAAAGAAGACGCACTAGGGATCATGTGGCAAACATACATTTGATAACAGGATGTGCTACACACTGTGTCGCAACACACAGTTTGGAAAGCTCTTCTTTAGTGGTTGCTCCTCCTGGTGATTGCTACCTTAAAGTCTGTTTGCTGCTTAACAGAGATGAGGAGGAGCAAGTCACTACAGGATATTTCCTCCTCCACTGCTGGAAAATGGAGACTGCGATCAAGAAAGCAGAAGACTAGGACATGGAAGGGCAGCTGTGAAGGAAGTGAAAATCCTGAAGTGTAAAGAACAGTAAAGAAGCTGTTAGGAAAAAAATCAGCTTGTTTGAAATGCAGTACTGGAGAAGAGTTCTACAGATATTGTGGACTGCTAAGAAGACAAAGCAATGAGTCCTAGAGCAAATCAAAACTAAACTCTCACTAGAAGTCAAAATGACTAAGTTGAGACTGTTATTCTTTGGACATACCATGAGAAGACATAAATCACAAGAAAAGACAAGAATGCTTGATAAGGTAGGAGGCAATCAGAAAATGGAGAATCACATTACAGATTGATGAACTCAAGGAAGTTACAGACCTGAGTCTGCAAGACCTGAGTAGGCTGTTAATGATAGGGTGCCCCCTGATGAATCTAATAGGCTAAATTTACTTAGATCACAGTCCTGCTGGAACATACAACATTCCTCTGCATTCAATACAAAACCACTTCTTGTTGATGCCTGAAGGCTTTAAAGCAATCTAAAAAACATCCAATTTACAAAGGGTTAGGACTGGTCATCGGGTCATCTGATTGTTCCACCAAAAATGCAGCTCTTCTGATTGAATTGCTTTCTCTCTCCTCTCCTTTTTATGTTGGATTTGGTGTTTGTATATGGACACATTTACAGGTCAGCATTTCACCTCCTCCTTCACTTTGTAGAGGCTCACATAGGCAATTGAAATGAAGGGAAACAAAGGCTATTTTTAAAAACCCAGCAACTGCTGTAGTCTGTGGCCAGACATAAACCTATATGACAAACATGTGCACACAGTAAAAAAACAAAACAAAACAAAACCTTTCACTGAAGGGGCCAAACAATTGGCCGGGGGGAGGGGGGGAGCGGAGCTGTGTGGCTTTCCAAACTAAACTCTGTATGTATTAAAACCAGGGTGTGGGGCAGGGATAGTATGCAGAGGAGCTGGGATACAGTCCCAACCAAAGTAGACTCTGTTTTGGAGGTGTCCTATTCATAAGATCGCCAAAAAATAAAAGTCAATTCAATGATAGTTAATAACAAATTGACACATGTTATCTCCACCCCGCCTCCATCTTCTTAGACAGGATTTTCATATATCCTTAATAGTATGCAAAGACTAGCTTTTATTTCCACAAATGCCTTTTCAAATTACTGGCTCAGTATACATGTAATGAATTTGAGAAATCATGTAGTGAAAGTATCACAGAAAGCATCACTCGCACATGTTTCTTGGATGGAACATGGACAGACCAGGTTTCTTTTTTTCATTAACCTTCCAAAATATATGAAAAAGTGAGGTATGATATTTAAAAGGAGTATAGTATCTTTCTGTGTACTGACTTTTGTGCAGGATGATATTAGGACACAAACTTGGTCTGGTTTAAAAAAAAGATTAGCAGAATCACTATCTTTGCATCCCTAAATGTGAATACCATCATCATTGTGAAGCAAGGTAATACGATTGTCCAAGAAGCTTCTTTCTGTATAGTCTCTTCCCTTTTAAATACTTTGCATTTGAAGTAAATTTATGCAATGCATTAAATAATAAATTTAGTGCTCGTATTTGTGATTTAATACAAACATTCAAGGATATTTTTCATGACATATGCATAGACATACAATTGCAAAATGTAGCTTTTCACAATTTCTAAACTAGATTTCAGTTTGAAAAGATAAATAAAGGTAAATCATTGCTACATTATTACTAATTCCTTTTAAGTTTACAGAAGCCAAGGTTAAATCCCTGCCTGCAAAACTGAAGAAAAAAAACCCAAATGTACTAGAATTATGAGTGCTATATTTTTATTTTTCTTCTATCACTAAAAAATACAGCATTAAAAGAAAAAACACCTAACAGCCTTTTATTTGAAATCTACTAAACAAGGAAAAACAGATATTAGGTCATACATTTCTAATCTTTTAGCAAATTATACTTGAAACACTGAAAGTAACTGCCAACTTGAATTGCATTATAGTCAGTGTAGACCCATATAATGAAGTTTGAACTTGAACTGAATTCAATTATATGGATCTACACTGACCATACGATGCAGTTCAGACTGCATTATATGTCAGTGTACTCATAATTCCAGTCACAGATTTTGGTATGCTTGTCTTGCAGCACAATCACATGTCCATTCATCTGGTAATCCCCATTCAGCAGAGAGGGAAATATTGTTCATGTTGATTTGTAGACTGAACTTGTTTGTAAACACATTTGAATTGATTACGTGGAGGTCTATTCTAAGTTTGCATCTGCACACTGTCTGACGCAGATCAAAGCTGGAAACGAGCCTTTGGGCCTCACTCATTTATTTCAAAATGCCAATGATGCTTTTTAAATGGCTTTAATCTTTTAAACATGCTTGAACTTGTTAGTTGTATTTCATATGCTTTCACTCTATTTTACAGATAATGTTTATTTTTAAAAATTGTTTCAATTTAGAGTGATTTCGCTTGTACTTTGCCCTAAGATCTTTTGATATAAGATGGGACAGATGTATTTTAATAAATAAATAAAGGAGTTCAGAGCTTGTCAAATCCTTGAAGTAGGACCTTGCTGGCTGGAGGCATTTGGAAGTAAATTATCCAAGTTCTGGCAAATGTTGTATCATTTAAAACATGTACATCTCATAACTTACAATATTTCACAAATGATAACTGAGACACAAGTGGGATAATCACTATCACTGAGGATAGCGCAGAATTACAGGGAGCAGTCAACCTCCCTTCTGGTCCCAATTCAAGGTGCAGGTTATTGCCTATAAAGCCCTGAACGGTTGGGACCCGCCTACCTTCGTGACCGCATCTCCTACCACCAACCTGCACAATCCCTCCGATCCTCTGGGGAGGCCCTCTTTTCACCCCTTCCTCTATCTCAGGCACAACTTGTGGGAATGAGGGAGAAAGCCTTCTCGGCTGTGGCCCCCGACTTTGGAACTCACTACCTGGTGAGATTAGGCAAGCCCACACCCTAACAGCCTTTAAGAAAGATCTGAAAACCTGGCTCTTCCGTTGTGACTTTGGAGAGTGACCATTCATCCCATTTCTGTCTG